GCCCGCGCGCGGCTCGGGCCGCCTGCGCGCGGTTCGGGCGGCTCTACCAGGCCCGTGGGCGGCCCGTTCCTCGCTGCTCCTGCCCTCTCCACTGTCCCCCGTGCTTCTACCGGCGCCTCACCCCTCCTACAGCCCGTTCTCCTAAATTAGGGTTTGGGGGTGAAGAGTGTGGGGGTGGCGGCTATGGGGGTGTCGGTTGTGAGTTCCTCCCCCTGCTCCTCCTCCTCCCTCGTCTCCCTCTGCTACAGCTGCCGCTGAGGGGGGTGGTGTGTGGGAGCCTAGGGTTTGGGGTTTAAGGGGGGTACCGTCGGAGTGGAGCTAGGGTGTCAGCAGGGGGTGTGTGAGAGGGGCGTGGGACGGTCGGGGGAGATTGCGTGGAGGTAGCCGTCGTGACGCCAGCAGCGCCAGTAGTCCGGATGCCCTCGCGCGTTTCGGTAGCCCAGCGAGCCTGCTTCGCCAGTCGCCTGTGGGTCCGTTGCTCCTGTGTGTGCTCGTCGTAGCCGCGGAGCCAGATACTCCCGTAGTCCGGTGCCCTCGTGCGCTCGGTAGCCACTGTGCGCGCCGCTCCTGTTGCCCGTGTGTCTGCAGCTTCAGTCGGCGCCTTTCATCTTCTCTCCTCTCGCCAGCCCTCCTCCTCCTCGCTTGCCCTCTGTGACTGCCTCTAGCTTTGCTCATAACTGTGAACTTTAAACTATTGCTTCTTGAACTTGTGCTCAGAATGTGTGGTGACATTGTGATCCACCCTGAGCTTGTACTGCTTTGCTTGCTCTGCTGATTACACCCCACTTTGGCTATGGGGGTGTGTCAGAATGCTATTATTGTCTAGCCTGCAGTGGGGTACTCTATAGCGAGTACAGCCCAATCTAGGGTTTGCTATTTGTACTCAACTGCCTGCTAGTTCAAACCCCTCTCTCCTTTCAATCATTCTTGCCTAGTAATTCTGACAAAAGGATCGCTCGGATCCAGCTCCTTGAGAATCGGGACATCTCCGGGCGTAGCTAGAGCCGTCGATGCTCATCAGCTCGTGGCTCTTCAGGGCGCTGATGCAGGAAATGAGCTGCTCGAGAAGCGCTGAATCCACGGTCGTTGTTGTAGAAGCGACATTGGTGGAGGGAAGTACTGGATTTTCTCCAGCCTCTCCGCAATCTGCGCCTGGCATGATGTTGCCCTTGATGTAAAGATAAGTTATAATAAAGCTTTTTTTTGAAACATTTTAGCAATTTCTATAATCCAAACTGACTCTCATACCATGCTAGAGTAAGGATCTTGGTCAGGATAGGAATGCTTCAAAGAGTTTTGATAGCGGAAGTCTTGTGGTAGGAACCATGTGCATAGTTAATGTAAATGACAAGGTTTGTCAAGGCATAAATTACACACAATAAATATACCTAGCTAGCCATGTACTTTAAGGGGTACATTTCATTGTTTTAACTGCTTTACAAGCAATTCTACAGTGACTCTGACTATTGCACTTCTTCTTGTTATCGAGTCGCTGCGTGTAACCGTACAGACGGTTACGCCTGTTGCCGTTCCTCGATGGTGAGTCAATCGCTCTAGATGGTCAACAGTCACGACAGTTTACCTTTGCGACTGTTGACCTTCTTGGCCTTGATACGAGCTGATCCGGTACTGCTGCTAGTGCTGCTTCGATTGTGACGGGTGCGATACAGCTGCACCTACGGGAATGTTAAACCAATCCTCTTCATACTCCAACAGAACAAAACTGACGCGTGGTCCTCGGGTTGTACCCGCTAGAGTGCGAGTACAGTAAGGAATTACAATTCCTTACAGATTTGGTGTAATGGTGTTAACAATATAACTCTTTACAGTTCAAATTACAAACGTTTTTCGACCTTTACCGCAGCAAGTCCACGCCGCACCGCCCTCTCCTTATAGTCGCTACTACCCCTGACAATTTTTGCGAAATGACTGTCACGAACGAGCATCGTTAGGGCGGTCCGATACACACGAAACCAACCAGACCAGCGACACCTGCAACCGCGCGTCGCATCGCAAGAAAGAAGAGATGGCTTTCGTAGGGGAGCGACATTCCCCGCCCTGCCACCATCACCGTGCCACAACCACATCCTCCACTCTGGGTGCCTCTAACCCGCTCCCGTGCTGGTTCACAAATGTCTGCTTCATATCACACCATCCCATCTGAAGGAAGATTGATGCAAAATACGTCACTGGGGCGCTCGGAATCCCCGTGTCTTGCTTCTGCTCCCTATTGAGCCGTTTCATGATTATTCAGCATCGATTTTCCTCTCACGTTCAAGCTTGTATCCAACAAGCAAATATTCTTTCCATTTCAACGGCGACTTCGCCCCTCTCCTCTACCCACCAGCACTACCGAAATTTCTGACGGTGGTGCGAGCCGCATTCCTCTATTTCACAGAATTCCGCCTTTGGAGATCACAAGCAACAGCGCCGCATCTCTTTCATAGAACTTCCTCGCTCGCCATGCCCCCCGCGCTGAACCGGTCGTCGTCGGCAGCGGCAGCGGCGGCGAGCGCGAAGATGTATTCGGCGCAGGGGCCGCACGTGGTGGGGCTGGACGAGATCGAGGCGCTCAAGGCGTCGGCCAACAACCTCTTCGTCGAGGGCAAGTTCGGCCAAGCCATCATCGGTGAGTGCCGCGCCAAGCCATCATCGGTGAGTGCCGCGCCAAGCCATCATCGGTGAGTGCCGCGCCAAGCCATCATCGGTGAGTGCCGCGCCAAGCCATCATCGGTGAGTGCCGCGCCAAGCCATCATCGGTGAGTGCCGCGCCAAGCCATCATCGGTGAGTGCCGTGCCAAGCCATCATCGGTGAGTGCCGCGCCAAGCCATCATCGGTGAGTGCCGCGCCAAGCCATCATCGGTGAGTGCCGCGCCAAGCCATCATCGGTGAGTGCCGCGCCAAGCCATCATCGGTGAGTGCCGCGCCAAGCCATCATCGGTGAGTGCCGCGCAAACCACACACACCTGCCACCTGCCAGCTCCTCCCTGCGTGCGGACGACAACCGTCAAACCCGATTCCCGAAGCGTTTGCGGCCAGGCGGAAAGTCATTTCCGCTGGTTTGTGGTCCGCGGAGAGCGGTGGGTGGGTGCAAGGTGTTGGAGTTGGCCAGAATCCCTAATCCCTTCACCATTCCCTTCCTCACCTGCTCTCCGTCTTCTTTTGCCAGATCTAGGTTTCTAAACCCCCAAACCGTCTCGTACCTGGCCTGCCGTGCCCTAGCGTCGCGTTATTTTTCCCACTCACCCGCCCGCCCCGCCCTCCCGCCTCCTGCCCGCCTGCCCTCCTGCCCTCCCGCCCTTCTGCCCGCGCGCCCGCGTGCCCGCGTGCCCGGCAGGCTACAGCTACGCCATCAAGCAGATGGCGGGGCTCATCGTGCCGTCCGCGCGCCGCGCCAGCACCAATCTCGACAGCCCCTCCGCCGTCGCCAGCGCCGTGCGCGACGCCAAGCCCGACCCGCGCACCGCGCAGCTCGCCGCCATCTTGTACAGCAACCGCGCCGCGGCCTACTTGAAGCTTGAGAAATACGACAAGGTGAGCTATTGTCAGCGTACTGCGAACCGCGCGAGACGGAATATAAAGAACTGCGATGCTGGAAACACTGGATGCGCCTCTAATACTGAATGGTTGGAAAAGGAAATTGAACGCATGTGTTGGTCCTAATCTGGAAGGCGATGTTAAAGCTGAACACAGAGGTGACAGACCGTGGGCGACCTTACATTCAACTAGTCACGGCTCCTGTGCCGCGCATCCCAGCGGACACGGCCCGCTTCCTTTGGCCTTCTGCAATACCCTCTTCCCTCTTCTCATCCCATTCTCGCTTACTCCCTGCCCTCACGTTCCCCGGCAGATCGCCATGCATTTCCGTCCCTCATTATCCCTCCCACCCGCCCACGAAGCACGATTGCGCACAGCTGCCTGGCACGATTGCGCTGTGTCTAGACAGTCTGACACGCACTTGGCACGAGCGTAGCCCGTTGCCAATGGCGCGCCCTGCCTTGCCCCTCTTACCCTCCCCCTCCCATGCCTCCTGCTCGCATCCAAATGACCACACTGCACCCTTGTGGGGGGCGCGCAACGCCATTTGTGAAGCCCTTCTGTGCGTACTAATCGAATCCGCTCTTTTCCTCACCATTCTCCTTCTACCATACTCCCAACTCCGTTGCCTCATTGGCTTGCCTGCATTCCTTCTGACCTTCCCGCTCCCCCTCTCCCTCTCCCTGCGTGGCGGGGCCCACCCAACAGGCGGCGGTGGATGCGGGCGCGGCGGCGGGGATAGACGCGAGCAACTTCAAGGCGTGGCTGCGCAAGGCCATGGCGCACAAGGAGCTAGGGCAGTGGTACGACTGCCACGTGGCATGCAAGGCCGCCCTGCGCCTGGAGCCCGCCAACGAGGACGCGAGGAGCCTGTTCGAGGAGTCGCAGTTCAAAATGGGGTCCGTGCCGCAGCACCCCCCCCCCAGCCACAGGCAGCGCCGGCGCCACAGCCCTCGTCAAAGAGGTTCGGCTTGTTTGGCAGAAGATGATTCCCTGTGCAGCACGGTAGGATGGATGCTGAGTGGACAAGGATGTGGTGAAGGGTGGATTACAGGCTGTGCATGGGGATGATATGATACGCCCAGACAAGGTTGCTAGAAGGGCTCTTGGGTGAGCTTTTGGGGAGAAACTGGCAAGACGTTCACATTAGGGTAGCCAAGTGAAAAGGATGAGGAGAGATGAGAACGTAGGGAGCATAAGGTTCCCTAAAACGCTGATTTCTGTAAAAATCAGTAATGGAGACATATTTGTGTAAATAAACCCTCAAAACAACCAATTGGCTTGTTGAGTAAAATTAGAGTATGGCATATTCTATAGTCCAATACTCTGGTAGGAAACATGTACCATAATCCTGAGCTCTAGATGACCCAGAAAGGGTACCATCGTCATTATGGACTCCAAAAAATTGTTTTGATTAGGAGTTAAAGCTCAAGGCCCAAATTGCGGGCCGCGCTGAGCATGATTAGTGAGCAGTACTGGTTGTGTGCATGCTTATCATGGGGAAGGCTGGCACCACGGCCTGGCAACGGCCACCTTGGCTTTGGTAGCCACTGTACTCCAAAAAATAACAGATCCAATCATCCCTACATGATAGCAGGTGAAAGAATGGCGAAATATTTAAGACCCTGGCTTTAAGCATCATGCTTCTCTGGCTGGGTAAGGAAGGCTGGCCTGGCTTTCTGTCAGCAAGAGGGCCGTGGTTGCCCAGCAGCTGGAACATGGTAGGAGGGCGAATGGGACAGGCAACAGTGAGGAGAAAGGAGAATGCATGAGGCATGGATCATAAAAGCACGGGGAAGTGAAGCAGCACAGGGAAGGGTGCAGTGGAGTGGACGTTCCATGAGCGTGGTGCGGTGAGGTGTGGACCCACCTTGGCGTTGACTCCATCGTGCACCAGCCTGTTCTTCTGCTTCCACTTCACAAAGTCAGCGCGAGCGATCTTCGTGAAGCCCCTGCCTCACACCATGGCACGGCGCACCACGGGAACGCAGGGGGGATGTGCAGAAGCGGATTGGCACAGAGGGCAGGCCAAGGTGGCAGGATGCGAGGGAGCAATTGGCCCTTCATCGACCTCCCCAGTACACCAAGATTTTGCTCGCCCTCCCCTCACATCCCCTTTCCGTGGTCTTTCCTCGTGCGCACCTCAGCACTGCCGCGCGCCCATGCACTCACCACTTGCAGCTGGTGAGCACTTGCTCATGTACTTGTTGCACGCTATCCGCGCCGCCTCCAACGCCTCGCTTGACACGTTCTCCTTCTCCCAGCTGCACCGCGGGACGGCGGGAGGACGGGCGGGCGAAGAGGGGAGAAAAGGGAGCACACAAGGCGCAGCGGGGAGCGGAGGGAGAGCAAATGGACAGAAATTTAGTGAGTTAGAGGGGAATGGGATTAAGTGATGGAGGGGTGGAGGGGGACGGGAGAGACTGCAGCGCGGAGCACCCAAGGCTGCATGAGCACACTGCCGCCCAAGGCAGCAAACACGGCACGCGCTACCGTGGAACCCCCCCAATTCCGCCCGTCACCTTGATCGCGACCTCAAGGGCACCCACCCGCCACGAGCGGCCAGCGACGGCTACGCCAGCGCCGCGACGCCCCTCGATTCGATACAGCAACTTCCCAGCGCTAACGGGTGCCTCTATCGTCAAAGAAGCGGCTTGCTGACGAGGCGGTCGCACCTGACGAGGCGGTCGCACCTGACGAGGTGGATGCAGAAGGGGAACTCGTCCGCGCTGCCCACATCGTAAATGCGGATCTTCGCATCTGCACCCCGGCCCGTCACCCAACCACCCCACCAACCACCAACCACAACCGCAGTCACCGCGCCGCGACCAGAGTCAGCCACCCCACGCGCAATATAAATCGTTAGAATGCGGGACGCTGCAAGGGTGCGGGAATTGACGACGCAACGGGAACACCGCGGCAGTAGCGCGACTTGCGGTACGGCTTGTTCTTAATCTGGCGGTAGCATCTCGTGGGGCCTGGCGGCGCCGGGCGCAAGGAGAAGAGAGGCCAACGACAAACGCAAGGGTTGGGTCAGCAGCCGTCCACGCCGGCGGAATTTCTACACGCGCAAACGGGCGCAATGCGCGGGCTGAGCGAGACGCGCGCGACACTTATGGCGACCCATGGCGCCTCTCGCGGGAAATCAAGGCGAAAGGGGAGAAGGGGAAAGAGTTGAGCAATCAAAGGCAGCGAGGTAAGGGAAGTTATATTGCTCTTGGCGCTGGTCGAGCGGATTTGCCTGGGAAAAAACGTGGGTCCAGCTGCTTGGGTCGAGCTGGGACTCGACCCAAGCGGAAGCGGCGCAAGATTGCGCCGAGTAGGACAGCCGCCACCGCCCCAAGGGCTAGGCTCGGCCTGCCCGTGAAACTGTGCTCTGCCCGAGCACATTCGTGCGTGCAATGTAGCTGGCGAAGCACGTGCTCTCGCCAACGTTAAAGTGCAGCCGTCAATTGACGTGCACTTTTCGCGCAAACGGTTGCGACGTGATCTCTGCGAGCACGTCGCAACCAGTATGTGAAAACTGCAATATCGAGAAACTCGATATTGAGCTTCGTGTTAGACATTTGTTTACAGTAAAATTTGGTAGACTGCACACGTTTTACTAGATTACGTCTACTTCCGCATGGGTGCAAGCTCGTTATTTGCACGATCCTCCGCCTAATTCAGTATTATGAAACGCAATATGTACCTTGGCCATTCGCTAAGAGACAGACGAGCAGATTGTTTTTTTCAATAACGACAAACGTTTTCTACACTGCATATATCGAACACAGTTGCAGTTTGCGTCCACCCATCAACACGAACAACAGCTGTTTTGGTGTCATAATGAGAAACGACTGTTTTTTATACACCAGGTTATAGGGTAGTAGTCGTTTATTTTAAAGAATACGGTTTTAAGTACAATTGATTAAAAATTTCGGAAACGTGATAAACTTTCGGGACCACAAGGAGACAGCTTTTTCCCAGATTTTTCGATCGCGACATGGTATTTTTAACAGATTCGTAAAATGAACCAAGCCACTTTAACCTTTTTTTTTTTAATCTCACATCTCCACACCAACCGGTGTATAGAACTAAATTGAAAATCCAGTGTATTTACATTCTTTTACATTGCGCGCCGACCGTGTTCCACGTGGCAGAGTTACTCGTTCTCTGCGGGAGGGGTGTTGCTCAGAGTTACGCCATTGTGGAGGAGCCAGCCAATCGAATGCTCTGACAGAGGCGGGAAGAACCCCAGATCTGGGGTCTGGCGACCAGATCTAGAGAAGCTGTGGCGGGAAGAAGGGATGCAGTCAGAGGTTGTGGTGCTCATGTTCATGTGGCTGAGTCCCAGAATGCTTAAATAGCTCCCCGTTGTATGTCATTTCTTCATTCCTCCTTCAAACTTTAACACATGTTAGGGGAAAACATCACCCTCCTTGCTTCCATACCTTCAATCCAGCATGGCATGATTGATTGCTTCTTTCAGAGTTGCACACACGCCGAGGGTTGAGCCAGCGAAGAATTTTGTCAGAAATAACTGAGCAGGAATGAATAAACTAGAACAGAGTTTGGTACAAGTAGTAAACCCTAACTTTGTGTACCCCCTAAGGTGTAACCCACTACAGCCTAGACAATATAAACATGCAATGTTTGACACACCCCCATAGGCGCAGTGGGAGACAACCACAGGGTCACAAGACCAGTCAAAGCAAAGTAAAGCAAGCTCAGGGTGGATCTCAAGGATTCCACACAAATTCCGAGCACAAGCAAGTGGTCTCAAGACCAGTTCACATGCAGGTTTATAACAAAGCAAGAGATACAGTGATCACAACCTAGCAAAAGTAAACAAGTAGGCATATATATATAGTGATCACAGTACAAGCAAGGTCAAGAGGTAAGCAAGTGAGGCCCAGTAGGTACAAGGCCTAGTAGAGTGCAAAAGCGCTGATGGTCACAAGGCTGAAGCGCCTTGGTGAACACATCAGCAGTGTTGGCCTCCGTGGCCACGTAACGCAGACAAAGCTGACCACGCTGCTGCAGCTCTCGAGCAAGGAAGTACCGTAGAGCGATGTGCTTCGTTCTGTGCTCCAGTCTGTGCTCCTCACACAAGGCAATGGCAGCCTTGTTGTCAACGTACAGCACTGGAGGAGAACGAGGCCGCTCTCCGAGGTCGGTCAGCAGGTAGGTCAGCCAGCGTAGCTCCTGAGCAGCCATGGCTGTGGCGTAGATCTCAGCCTCACAACTGGAGCTGAGAACAGAAGAAGAGCGAGTAGAACGCCAAGAAACTGAGCCAGAGCCAAGGCTGAAGGTGTAACCCTGGGACGACCGCTGAGTAGCCTGGTCGTCTGCCCAAGAAGCGTCTGAGTGCCCTGTGAGAACAACCCGGTCTCGCCCTCCAAGCACAAGCCCCATGCCCGACGTACTGCACAAGTAGCGCAACACCCTCTTAGCAGCATCCATGTGCTCCTTTCGGTGACGGCCAGGAGCGACATAGCGTGCTAGGATGCTAAGAGGGTATGCAAGGTCAGGTCGAGTGCAGGTCATCAGGTACATGAGGCAGCCCACAAGCTCTGGATACGGGCCACTCGGCTCTACGGACTCATCCGAAGGCAGAGCTGAGAGCGAGTGACCGGTAGGCAGAGGAGTGGACTGAGGCGAGGAGTACGTGAAGCGGAAGCGCTGGAGAACCTGCTGCACCATGTGTGACTGAGTCAGGGTGATGGTGCGCCGCGCTCTGTCCCGGGTGATCCGCAAGCCAAGATAGCTCGTCAGCTCACCCAGGTCTGTGCACGTGTGTCTCCTCTGCAGCTCCGACTTCACGTGAGCGAGTGCCGCGGTGTCAGCAGTGGCAAAGACCAAGTCGTCGACGTACACGAGGATGTAGAACGGCGGCAGCGAGGTGTCGGTGCGTAGAAACAGCGACGGGTCAGCAGTAGAGGGAGCGAACCCAAGAGCCGCAAGTGTCGTCCTCAGTGTGTCGTGCCACTCACGTGGCGCCTGGCGGAGACCGTAGACCGGCCGCTGAAGCCTCCACTGGGTGCCAGGAGGAAATGACCCAGTGAAGCCAGGGGGGCGGCGCAGCCAGATCTCCTCGTGCAGGCTGCCCTGCAAGAAAGCAGTGCTGAAGTCAAGAGAGTGAAGCTCGTAGTCGCGGTGAGCGGCTATGTGCAGCAGCACCCGAAGAGTAGTCATCTTCGGGGTGGGGGAGAAGGTCTGAAAGAAGTCTACTCCCTCTCGCTGACTGAAGCCTCGAGCCACGTAGCGCGCCTTGAAGACAGGTGGAGAACCCGGCGGCCGCTTCACCCTGAAAATCCACATGCCACTGACGATGTTCGCCCCAGGAGGGGGAACCTCGTCTACGTAGGTGCCTGTGGACTTCCAGGAGGCCATCTCTGCGTCCATGGCTGTCTGCCACTGAGAGGAGTAGGGACCCGCTATCGCCTCAGCGTAAGAGCGTGGGGTCGGGATGTCTGGTGCATCCGGGTCTCCCTCAGGGGCAACTAGCAAGGACACGAGACGGGGCAAAGCAGCAGTAAGGCAGTGGAACTCCTCCTGTCTGTCCTCAAGGACGTCCGTGCCGAGGGCACACTCACCCCCGACGGACGGAGGACAGGCAGACGCAGACTCAGACCTAGCGACAAGGCTGGCAGCGTAGTCTAGGCGACAGCGAGCAGCAAAGTCAACCAACTCAGCGACCAGAGCAGACGCAGCAGAGGACTCAAAGGTCGGGTCAGTGACAACTGTAGCGAGGAGACGCGTAACAGTGGGACTGGCAGCACGACGGGAGTCAGACTCCGGGTCAGGAAGAGTAGGAAGAGAGGACGCAGGAGGAGACGGCAGCGGGACACGCTGCGGAGCAGTGGAGGGACGCAGAGTCATGTAGTGAGTGCCAGGGACAGGAGGAGGACGCTCACGTGGGACACGACGACCAGTGCGAGCAGTACGAACAGGCGACGCAGGACGAGACTCAGGCTCACGACGCTCTGTAAGACCTCCTGTGGGACCAGCGTAAGGGGAGGGAGCAGGGAGAGGCGAGACAGGCGGTAACTGTGACTGCGGCTGGACAGGCAGAGGACACTCGACGGAGGAAGGAGGACAAGGAGGAGGAGCCTGACCAAGAACCTGCTGAAGGAGCGGTACGAAGTACGGTCGCGGCCGCGCAGCGTCTCCAGAAGCAGCAGGGACACCAGTGGCAGCCCCAACGTCCGAGTCCCCAGCACCAGCAGCAGCTCCAACGCCCGAGTCCTCAGCACCAGCAGCAGCACCACCGGTCGGGTCCTCAGCACGAGCAGCAGCTCCAACGCCCGGGTCCTCAGCACCAGCAGCAGGGGCACTGGTCAGGTCCTCAGCACCAGCAGCCGCGCCACCGGTCGGGTCCTCAGCACCAGCAGCAGCTCCAACGCCCGGGTCCTCAGCACCAGCCGCAGCTCCAGTATCCGGGTCCTCAGCACCAGCAACAGCACCACCGCTCGGGTCCGCAGCACCAGGAGTACCACTACGAAGACTGCAGCGCCGCGTGTACCACTCGCGGATCACCTGAATGGGGGGGAGCTCCTGGGTAGGAGGGGAAGTACCGGGACGAGCTCCAGAAGCACCTCTCCGGAGGCGGCAGTACTCGAGGTACCTCTCCTGCAGCTGCTGGGAGGAGAGGGCTCCTCCAGATGGAGTACCCCCAGACTCAGCACCCCCAGACTCAGCACGTCCAAACTCAGCACCACCAGGCTCCGCACCTCCAGGCTCCGCACCTCCAGGCTCAGCACCCCCAGGCTCCGCACCTCCAGGCTCAGTACCTCCAGGCTCCGCACCTCCAGGCTCAGCACCCCCAGGCTCCGCACCTCCAGGCTCAGCACCCCCAGGCTCCGCACCTCCAGGCTCAGCACCCCCAGGCTCAGCACCCCCAGACGCAGGACGCGAGTCAACAGCTACCTCGACAGGCTCACTCGGGTCTACCTGGGACACACCTGAGGGAGCGGCACCCTGAGGGGGGAGGGGGTCTGGTACCTCAGCACCTGGAGCGAGGAAGAGAGGCGGGGGGGGGAGCGGGGCAGTGCGGTAGGGGAAGAGGCGGTAGAAGGGGACGGACTCGTCAAAAGTGACGTCCTGAGAGGCCAGAACCCGGCGCGAGGTGACGTGGTAAAACTGCCATCCAGGCGCGTCGGGAACAAAGCCAAGAAAGACACAGGGAACAGCGCGACGCGAGAGCTTGTCCGCGGACGTGTCGCGGACAAAAGCTCGAGATCCCCAGACCCGGAAACGCGACGCATCGCCAACCTCTCCCGTCCACCGTAGAGTCGGGGAAGTCTCCGGCAAGGAGACACGGGGCCAGAGGTTGAGCTGATGCGCTGCGTACCGGACTGCAAACGGCCACAGAAAGTGGGGAGCAGCCGCATGGGTCAGGGAGGTACGAGCGACCTCCATGACTAAGCCAATGCGGCGCTCAGCAACCCCATTCTGCTGTGGAGAGGCCGGAAGCGTGTACGACTGCTCAATGCCGTGCTCAGCACAGTAGGCTGCCAAGAGGTCGGAGGCGAACTCACCACCCCTGTCAGAGTGCAAGCGCAGGACAGGAAAGTCCGAGTGAAAGCGCTCGCCTAGCTGGAGACGGGCTCGGCTGATCCAGGGGATCAAAGCACCAGGGACGTCACCCTTGGCGCGCAAGGGGAAGACCGTGGTGTAGCGCGAGTAGTCGTCAACAACTATCAGGAAGTACCTCTCCTGACCCTGACCACGGACGCGGGCTGGGCCCCACACGTCCATGTGGAGCGTCTGCAGGGGAGCGGTCGTCGGGGGAAAGGAGGAGGAGTGAGGAGCGGCGCGCTGCCGCCCCTCGACACAGGGAATGCAGTCAGGAGTAGGGGAGTCAGGAAGGGGAGGGAGCACCCTGGGAAGACCAGCAACAAGGTCCCGTTTGTGCATGGCCCGCAGGCGCTGCACAGACGGGTGACCAAGGCGGTGGTGCCAGAGGACGGTGTCGTTCGCCAGAGAGCGACACGAGCAGGGGGCGGACAGCTGACCTGACGCTGACGCAGACGCAGCTACCTGAGGGGACTCAGTGGTCAGTGTGTACAGGTCAGACCCCGGCTCTCGAGTGAAAGTAGCCAGGTGGCGGCCCGTCCGAGCACACGTGCAGTGAGTCACACGCTCGTAGGCAGGGGTGAACTGGTGAACACCCGAGTCCTGGAGCGCACTACCTGCCACCAAGTTCGTGGAGAACGAGGGGAGGTAGAGACCTGAGAGCTTGCCGGACGGAACCGCTGGACACGGAAGGGTGGTGGAGGAGGTCGCAAGGACCGGACCCCCAGAGGGGTCAGCAAGAGAGACAGCAACCGGCCGAGCTAGAGGCTCAAGGACAGTGCGGTCACGAAAGAAAGAGCGAGAAGCACCTGAGTCAAGTGTGAAGGTGTGCAGTGCTGCAGTCGACTCAGTACCAGGGGGCACAGACGCAGAAGCACCTAGAGCAGCAGCTGCAGTAGTACCTGTGGAAGCAGACACACTAGCACCTAGTGCAGCAGCAGGGCTGGCCTGAATGCCCGGGTCGGGCGGAACACGCAAGTACTGAGCACCCTCTCCACTAATAGACATCGCATACATGGCAGTGAGAATAGCATCAAAGTCAAGTGCCCAAATATCAACACCCTTCCTGAGCAGATCAGCCCAGCGCGGCAGCTCACCCCCACCAGGAAACTGAGTGCGCCACGCATCGTTGAGGCGGGCGAAGCAGCGCTCCGTCTGGTGCGGCCCCCCACACGTCTGGCCAGTGCGGTCACCTGTACGAATAACGTACTGGCAGGTGACGCTGCGCCGCGCATACCACTCACGGGCGGCCTGAAGGGTCGGGGCAGGCTGCTGACTCTGACCGCCCGCCGGGCCTCCACGACCACCAACCCCTCCGCCTCCGCCCCGGCCACCTCCACCCCTGCCGCTGCCACGACCACCTCCGCCTCCGCTGCCACCTCCGCCCCTGTCACCACTCCCAACACCGCTGTCACCTCCACCACCGCCGCCACTAGCCTCTCCAGTCGCACCTCCACCGCCACCACCTCCACCCCCGCCTCCTCCGCCACCACCCCCACTCCTGCCACTCCTGCCCCTGCGTCGTCCGCCTGAAGCAGACGCAGCCCCGACCTTCTCAGCACCAAGGAGGTCGACAGCAGCAGCAGAGGCGACAGAGGGGAGGAGGGGGGAAGGGGAGCACCCCTCGAAGAAGGGGCCGCGGGGGTCGCCACGAGAGGTGCCTACAGCGACGATACTAGCCTCGGCTGCAAGCAGTTCCTTCTCGAGGAGGGCTATGGTGAGCTCAGTGGGGGAGCGAGAGAGGAACTGGTCCCTGACAGGGCGCAGAGAGTCAGGGAGGCGGGTGACAACGTGGTAGAGAGTGATCCAGAGCGGGGGGGGGTTGCTAGCGAGGAACTCATCAGGCATGGCAGCGCGAAAGCGAGCCTCACTAGTCTTAAGGTGGGTGATGAGGTCTGCGACAGTGTGAAAAGAGGCTAGGTCGGGGAACAGGTAGGGGAGAGTGAGGCGGCCTAGTGTGGCAGAAGCGGGTGAGGAGTAGCGGGCCACTACAGCTGTGTAGAGGTCCTTAGCAGTCTTGCACTGGCCGAAGTGCTCGCGCTCATCTAGCGGCAGGGAGTTGCGAATAGCAAAGCGAGCGTGCGCGTCACGGGTCTGCCACTGTGAGCGCTCAGTTGGGGGGGCAGTAGCGAGTGGGGCGGTCGCATGGCCGAGAGCGTGGTCGTACAGTGTAATATCTTCCTTGGCAGTGAGCTGTAGGAAAAGGTGCAGATCATCTAGCCAGGTTTCGAATTTGACCGGACGGCCCTCGGCGTCGAAAGCTAGAACAGGAGGACTAGCCATAGCGACAGCGGCAGTAGTAGAAGCAGTAAAGTCACTGAACAGGCGTGCGCAGGGTCAGCAGGGCCGGTGGGGCCTACAGACTGTAGTGGCGCACAAGCAGCAGTAGCAGGAAGTGTAGTAGTAGGATCTGCAGTGGTGCACAGGCGCAGCAGGCGGCAGCGAGAGCCGGCGCAGCAGGGGCGGGCTCAGCAGCGGTGATACGCGGGCGGCAGCGGGCGCAGCAGCGGCGGTGCGCGGGCGGCGGCGAGCTCAGCAGCGGCGGTGCGCGGGCGGTGGCGGGCTCAGCAGCGGCGGTGCGCGGGCGGCTGCGGGCTCAGCAGCGGCGGGCCGGGAGCAGTGCGGGCAGCGTGCGGGCCGGCGGCGGTCAGCGCACGAGCCGCGCAGGCTCAGCGCGGGCTGCGCGGGCTGCTCGCGGGCTGCGTAAGCGGGTCGCGGGCGGCTCGCGGGGGTTCGCGGGCAGGTCGCGGGCTGCTCGCGGGCAGTTCGCGGGCTGTGCGCGGGCTGCGCGGGCTGGTCGCGGGCTGCGCAGGCGGGTCGCGGGCTGTGCGCGGGCGGTTCGCGGGCTGTGAGCGCGGCGCGCTGTGCGGTTCGCGGGCGGCGTGACGGGGCCGATCGGGGCGCTAAGGGGCGACGCGACGGGGGCCGTGAGAGGCCGCTAAAAAAAAAATTTCGACGGGGCCGCAGGGCCGCTAGATCTTGCTAGATCGACGGGGCCAGCGGGGCCGGAAACAAGCGAAGGTAAGCAGGTAGGTAAGTCGGTGGGCCCTAAGAACAGTCCTAGCGAAGGACCTGCTCTGAAACCATGTCAGAAATAACTGAGCAGGAATGAATAAACTAGAACAGAGTTTGGTACAAGTAGTAAACCCTAACTTTGTGTACCCCCTAAGGTGTAACCCACTACAGCCTAGACAATATAAACATGCAATGTTTGACAAATTTTTTTCTACTCTAAAAAATGGGGGCATTTTCGAGACACTAAAGAACTCTAAATTGAACATCCATTTCAGATCATCATTGTTCTCCACTCAGAAGGGTCACATTCATAGTTTATTCACTCCGATCACGAGTCTCTTTTCAGCACAACATGCTCCTGGGCTTGCTGGCAGTCCATCCCATTCCCGACGAGGCGTTTTAGATTTCGCTTGTCGAAAATAACCCTTTCAGGACAGGTTTCGTGCACATGTGGAGCATAGAGTCCTCTGAAACAGGTACACCGTGATGGCGGGCGAAGGCGGTACGGGTAATTTTCTTAGCGCAGCTCTCGATTTCGACCTCAATGAGGAGTATCATGATCTTCCAGACTGCCAACTGCCCAATGCCCCGATTGATCTAACCGGGGACCGCGATGCGGACGGGGAATTCGAGGCAGCTGTTGGGGGCGATGTGTTCCTGGATGCTCAGGAGGAATTTCCGGCCTCGAACCCTGAAGTCGGGATCGAGGGAAATGTGGCTGAGGGCGGATTTCCGAGGGGCGGAATTCCGAGGGGGGTGTTCATTAATCTCGCGGACGATGACGAGGACCTCCACCGAGCGTTGTTTGAGGAGAATTGGGAGGAAAATGCTAGCCGAAGCCCAACCTCTGAAGATAATGCCACCTGTCGAATTCTTTTTGTGGAACCGGCCCGTGGCAATGTGAACGGCCCAGAATCAGAGGCATCGCCCCATGGAAGTGCACATGGTGTCGGATCGTCGGCTGCGCCCGCGGGAAATGCTGAGGGACAAGAACCACAGGTTGCGCCACAGGGAAATGCGGAGGGGCAAGCATCGCAGGCCGCGCCTCAGAGAAATGCAGATGGGCCAGCATCAGCTACGCACGAGTCAGTTCGAAAACAGGCCGACGTGGCCAGCAGGATTCGCCGCGCAAAGGTCCCCTACGATTATCTCGCGGCGAAAACCAGAAAAGACTACATCCTGTATTGGCTGCACTACAAGTGGTGGGTCATCATGTTCATGTCAACGCTGCCCAAGACTGAGGTTCCGGCGGCGGAGCGTCTGGACCCGCTGAATCCTGACGAGGTTGGAAGCCATCTGGGGAACGACAAAAAGGCGGAGTGGTCAACTGTGGATTTGGATGAAGTTTATCTCCACGGGCCCCGTGTTACTGGATGGAGGATTCAGAGGTTCCTGCGGTACATGGCAGAGGAAACCCCCGCGCAGGCCGAGATGATGCGGAGAGTGGTGGCTGGAAAGGAGCCCATCCCTAGTACGCCGAGCATGATGAAGGCAAAGATGAGCGCTTTGGGCTTCCTGGGTAGACTTGAAGCTCGACTCTACGACTACCCGAAGGCCCAAGCAGATGAGTACATCGGCGAATCGCGGGAGTACATGAAGCTCAAGCTGAAACAGCTGCACGACAAGCAGGTTGCGTGAGTATTTACACACTTCATGGCCAAACAGATTCTCGAAAATTCGATGCCTAAGCACGTTTCACGTTGGTCTATGCAGGGAGGGCAAGGATCAGCACCGAAACTCTCTGGACGATTGCTACACGTCGGAGCAGTACGCGGACCTGCACGAGAAGCACTTTCTGAGGGAGATCAAAGAGTGCTACCAGAAAGTCTCTGGCGGTGTTTTGCGGTGCAGGTGATGATTCAACTCGCACACCAAATGTTGGGGAGGGGATGCAGCATTCGTTCTCTACGATTCGCGAACATGTTTGTCCGCCACACGCGTAGCAGCACGGCCGTCCCCGACCGCCAGAAGGATCTCCCTGTGGTGGTTTTCGCCTCTCGAAAGTCCAAGACGAATGCGACCAACAGGCTGACCCACCAATTCTTGGCCCGGCACATCAACTTCGCGCTCTGCGGTGTTGGTGGTCTTTTTCTGTGGATTCATTTCGTCTACGACCTCGTGCCACTGCGATTCGGAGCGGACATCATTCCGCCACTGGACTTCAGCGACCCCCTTCAGTGGTCTAAGAAGCACATTTTCTTCCCATTGAGGCACGGAAGGGAACAACTGCAGGAAGAGCTTCCGTACGTGACTCACAACAACTGGATTAATTGGGTCATGAACGACGTAGCGCGACCGCCCTGGCGGATTAGCAAAAAGACCCATGCGTTTCGCCGATCGGGAGCCCAAGGCCTGAGTGACGATCGCTGTCCCGACCCCGACATCAACGCTCTCGGCGGCTGGGAGCAGGGCGAGATGCGAAAGTCCTATGTCGTGGGCGTTCCGTTTTGGCCGGTCTTGATGATGGCCGGATTCAGTGGGGAGCCGGGAGATTACTACATCGGCAGAGCGCACGCTAAACTCGACAACGACACCGAGTGGAAACAGTTGCAAGACCTCTTCAAGCTGTTCATCTTCCCGCGCCTCGAATCTGATTTGGCAAAGGTACCCCTTGATTACCCAGCCTTTTGCAGTGTCTAAAGTTGTTGCGCTAGGCAGAGCTGAATGTCTTCTCTGTCCTACCATCTCAGGTCGATAATTACAACCGCGAGAATCCGGATAAGCCGCACCACTCTGGCAGAAGTTTTTTGGAGGCTCTTGCAAACCCTGGGCGAGACATCGTGGCACAGGACCTTGCCATGTGGTGGTTCTACTGCCCCGATCACGACCATCTTTTCGACGGTACAAGACGGCCATGCCAGTGCCCGCGCCACCCGTACACGGACATGAATCCGCTCTGCCGCCACCATCTCTTCCAGAAATGGGCCATCAAAGTGGCAATCATGCACAAGGCTGGCATTGAACTTCGTGAAGCCAGAGGCACCTCTGCAGCCGCTGTGAGTACATCAGTTCTCTGATCGGCCCTTATATTTCGACAGCATTGACAATGCCTGAAAACCCTCGTCCGTTTTCCCGCAGGATGCGATCTACAAGCTGAACTCATCCCGAAAGTACCAGAAGCTCCTCGTAGAGAACAACCTGTGGCGGACGGAATGTGGTCAGAAGGATCACGAGATTGGCGTGCTGAAGAACAGGCTCGCTGAAACCGAAGAGAGGGAGAAGAAGACGGCCGCTGAAAACAAGCAGCTCAAAGAGGAGCTGGCTGCTCTAAAGGCGCGTGCAGAGAGCAGCGCGAACGCACAGGCCGCTGATCGAGGGTCGGGCTCGTCGGCAAAGGAGGAAGCTGGTGGGGAGGCTCCGAAGCCTGGGAAGGCACAAGCCAGCACTCCAGTGCGGGCATTTTTCGACCTTGTCGTTAAACCCTGGCGGGACTCGGAGTCGGTCGCAAAGGCATGGGAGCACTGGGTGAAGGTGACCTTTTTGATGGAAGGGAAGACTCTCCGCCAGCTGTCGTCAGAAAAAAGTTTCTACCCCACTTTCTCGTACATTGAGAAGGGTGTGAAGGACGATGCTGGCGACAAAAAAATGAAGCGCATGAGGAACGTGATGCTCGCGGTCGAGAAATACAGGGCTAACGAAACAGAGGAGGCCACCCGAGATGCCATTGCGAAGATCGAGAAGGGCGTGGTGGGTCGGAGTTCGATTAGCGCACTGGCGGATGGGGTGATTCTCGGAAACGAGCCACCTCCGAAGAGGGATAATCCCGGCAAGGATAAGACGACGGAGAACAAGCGCCGCAAGGTCGGGTACCTCCTCTTCGCCGCCCAGATGGTGGGTGACGGGTGGGGAGAGAAGATGTTTGGGAAAGATGTTTGGAAGAAGATCAAGATCGAGGAGCCGTTGAAGCTGGCTAAACTGAAGAAGTAGTTTACGCTACCGAGACTTCCTTCCGTGATCGCTTCCCTCATCTTGGACCTCATTTCTGCTCTGCTCTTGACTTTGATGTTAAACTGTAGTATGCTTGTAGGCTGTAGTGGGGTAGCCAATATGGGGTACAACCCCAACTAGGGTTTCATATTTGTACCCAAACTTCTGCTAGTTCATCATTCTTGCCTAGTGATTCTGACATGGTATTCAGAGCAGGAGGTCCCTAGGACCTACCGATCGTTTTTTTTTAGGGCCCACCACCGCTCGCATGCGGTTACCACGCTACCCCGTGCCCTAGCCTCGTAGCGCCCTCGTGCGCCCTCGTTAGCGCCCTCGCGCGCACCCACGTTAGCGCCCTCGCGCGCCCCTTCGTTAGCGCCCTCGCGCGCCCCTTTGTTAGCGCCCTCGCGCGCCCCTTGCTAGCGCCCTCGCGCGCCCCTCACTAGCGCCCTCGCGCGCCCCTCACTAGCGCCCTCGCGCGCCCCTCGCCGAGCCGCCCGCTCGCAGCCCGCCCGCCCGCTCGCTGCCCGCTTCGCGGCCCGCTCGCTACGCAGCCCGCCCGCCCGCTCGCTGCCCGCTTCGCGGCCCGCCCGCTTCGCAGCCCGCTCGCTCGCTGCCCGCTTCGCGGCCCGCCCGCTTCGCAGCCCGCTCGCTCGCTGCCCGCTTCGCGGCCCGCCACTTCGCAGCCCGCCCGCCCGCTCGCTGCCCGCTTCGCGGCCCGCCCGCCTCGCAGCCCGCTCGCCCCGCTGCCCGCTTCGCGGCCCGCCCACTTCGCAGCCCGCCCGCCCGCTCGCTGCCCACTTCGCGGCCCGCCCGCATCGCAGCCCGCTCGCCCCGCTGCCCGCTTCGCAGCCCGCCCGCCCGCCCGCTGCCCGCTTTGCGGCCCGCCCGCCTCGCAGCGTCGCCCGCCCGCCGTGCTGCCCGCTTGCAGCGCCGCCTGCCCGCCGCGCTGCCCGCTTCCCGGCCCGTCCGCCGCGCTGCCCGCTCGCAGCGTCGCCCTCCCGTCGCACTGACCGCTTGCAGCGCCGCCTGCCCGTAGCGCCAGCCTCGCCCGCTGCTCTCTATCCGTGCACAGTCGCCTTCCCCTGCTGCGGCAGCTTGCGTTACTCTGTCACACTGTCGCTATGGCTTCCATTCGCGTGCTGTCGTTCGATGCTGAGGGCCGCCCTGTGCGTTTCACCGCTTGGCTAGATGACCTGCAGCTGTTTCTCCTGAGCGATAGCAAGGAGCATGTGTCGCTCTATGACTACGCGTCTGGTGCTGCGCCTGCCCCTCCTGCCACAGCTGAGCTTAGTGTTCGTTCCCACTGGCAGACTCGTGACGCAGCTGCTCGCCTAGCCATTCGCAGTCACCTGCCGTTAGCTGAGCTAGAGCATTTTGGCGACTGCAAATCCGCTAAGGCCCTGTACGACGCTGTCGTCGCTCGCTACTCCTCGCCTGCCACAGCCGAGCTTAGCCGCCTCATGCTGCCGTACCTGTTCCCCGATCTGTCCACCTTTACTACAGTCGCCGATCTTATCACCCACCTTCGCACTAGTGATGCTCGCCTGCGTGCCGCCCTTCCCACCGAGTTCTGCGCTAAGAACCCCCCTCCCCTGTACTGGACACTCCACTTCATAGTCACCCGTCTCCCTGACACCCTCCGCTCAGTTCGAGACCACTTCCTTGCTCGCTGTCCCACTGAGCTCACAGTCGCCCTCCTAGAGGAGCACCTGCTCGCGGCCGAAAAGAGCATTGTAGCTGTCGGTGCTGCTCGTGGCGCTCCTCGCACCCCCATCTTTGAGGGGTGTTCTCCCTCTCCCCTCGCTCCCTCCTACGCTGCTGCTGCTGCTGTTGACTTCCTTGGTGCTGAGTCTGTTGGCGCTGCTTCTACTCCTGGTGGGAGGCGCCGCACCGGCAAGGGCAAGGGGGGCAAAAGTGGTGGTGGTGGCGCTGGTGGGGGAGGAGGTGGGGGGGGGGGGGGGGAGGCGGTGCTGGAGGGAGCGGTGGCGGGAGCGCTGGTGGGAGTGGGGTCGGTGGTGGAGACGGGGGCGGCGGAGGGAGCAGTGGCAGTAGTGGCGGCGGCGGCGGTGGCGGCGGTGGCGGTGGTGGCGGTGGTGGCGGTGGCGGTCGGAGCGGTGGTAGTGGTGGCGGCGGAGGTCGGAGTGGAGGCACTGGCTCTGGCCAGAGCTCCCAGCAGCAGCAGCGTCCCCAGACGACCCAGCAGCTTCGTGAGTGGCTTGCTCAGCGTGGGACGTCGGGGGCCAGTGCCCGCTGTTCTTATGTCATTCGCACAGGTGACCGCAAGGGACAGACGTGTGGGAGGTTCCACACCCCGTACCGCTGCTTCTCCCGCCTTGACGACGCTTGGCGTGAGGAGATGGGTGCGGATGTTGAGCGCCCCCGCTGGGCTGAGCTCATGAGGGCTGGTGTTGATGTCTTTGCTCTTGACTATGATGCTATTATTGCTGCCATGTATGCATTGACTGTTAGTGCCGAGGGAGACTGTTACCTGTGTGTGCCGCCTGACCCAGGTATAGAGCCTGCTGCCCTGGGTACTAGTGAGTCTGCTCTCTCTGGTATGGTGCCCCCTGTACTTGCTCCCCCCAGTGCTGTCCCGGCTGGTTTCGAGTCTGCTCTCTCAGGTACAGCACCCACACAGACTCCTCTCTCAGGTACCGCACCGGCTGAGGCCTGTCACACCTTCACCCTTGACTCAGGTGCTTCCCGTTGCTTCTTTCGTGACAGTACTGAGCTCACACCGCTTCCTGCACCGGTCCCAGTCTCCTTGGCTGACCCCTCTGGGGGCCCAGTCCTTGCCCAGTCCACCACTGTCCTCCCTTGTCCGGCGGTTCCGTCTGGCTCGTTGTCGGGTTTCCACCTCCCCTCGTTCTCGACGAACCTGGTGAGCAACGCTGTCCTCCAGGATCAGTGGGTTGACACCTTTACCCCTGGCGGACAGCGTGTGGCGATCTGCACGTGCTCCAGGACCGGCCGTCACCTGGCTACGTTCACCCGTCGGCCGGGGTCGAGTCTCTACACACTGACCACTGCGTCTCCCCAGGTAGCTGCTGTCGGTCAGGTGTCTGCGTCAGGTCTGGTGGCCCACACCTGTGAGTGTCGTTCCCTGTCGCACCAGACTCTTCTCTGGCACCACCGCCTGGGTCACCCCTCCTTGCCACGCCTTCGTGGCATGCACCGTCGCCTCCTTGTGTCCGGTCTTCCCAGGTCCCTCCCTCCCCTCCCTGCCTCGCCTGCGCCGCCTTGCCTTCCTTGCGTCGAGGGGCGGCAGCGCGCCGCTCCTCACTCCTCCTCGTTCCCCCCGACAGAGGCTCCTCTGGAGACCCTCCACCTGGACGTGTGGGGCCCAGCCCGCGTTCGTGGTCAGGGCGGTGAGCGGTATTTTTTGCTGGTTGTCGACGACTACTCGCGTTACACCACGGTCTTCCCCTTGCGCACCAAGGGTGAGGTCCCTGCTGTTCTGATCCCTTGGATCCGCACGGTTCGTCTCCAGCTCCGCCGCCGTTTCCGGACGGATCTTCCTGTCCTGCGCCTGCACTCTGACAGAGGTGGTGAGTTTTCCTCCGACCTCTTGAGGACCTTCTGTCAGGCGGAGGGCATCGAGCAGACCTTCACGCTTCCGGACTCCCCACAGCAGAATGGGGTTGCTGAGCGTCGCATTGGCCTGGTCATGGAGGTCGCTCGTACCTCCTTGGTCCACGCGGCGGCTCCCCATTTTCTGTGGCCGTTTGCTGTCCGGTACGCCGCGCATCAGCTCAACCTCTGGCCCCGTGTCTCCTTGCCGGAGACCTCGCCCACACTGCGTTGGACGGGGGAGGTTGGCGATGCGTCGCGCTTCCGGGTGTGGGGTGCTCGTGCCCTTGTCCGCGATACGTCTGCGGACAAGCTCTCCTCCCGCACGCTTCCCTGTGTCTTCCTTGGCTTTGTCCCTGACGCGCCTGGCTGGCAGTTTTACCACCCCACCTCGCGCCGGGTCTTCGCCTCTCAGGATGTCACCTTTGACGAGTCGGTCCCCTTTTACCGTCTCTTCCCCTACCGCACTGCCCCCCTCCCTCCCCCGCCGCTTTTCCTTGCTCCTGGTCCCCCTCCGGTAGACCCCCTTCCCCCTCAGGGTCCTGCTCCTTCAGGTGTCTCTCAGGTAGACCCTCCTCCCGTCGCTGAGCCTGTCGAGGTCACAGGTGACTCAGGTGCTGCTGCGGGTGGTGCTGCTGGGAGTGCTGAGCCTGGGGGTGCTGAGCCTGCGGGTGCGGGGCCTGGGAGTGCTGGGACTGCGGGTGCTGGGGCTGAGGGTACTGTGCCTGAGAGTTTGCCGCCTGGGGGTGCTGAGCCTGGGGGTGCTGCGACTGGGGGTGCTGAGCCTGCGGGTACTGAGCCTGCGGGTACTGAGCCTGGGGGTGCTGCTACTGAGCCTACGGAGCCTCGGGTTACTGTGTCTGGGGGTGCTCCGGTTCGGGGTGCTGAGCAGTCTCTCACACCGCAGCAGCTTCGTGACTGGTACGTCCGACGCTTTCGCCGTCCTAGTGGCTCGGCTGGAGTTGGGGGTGCTGGAGTTGCTCGTCCTGGGGGTGCTCGTACTGGGGGTACTGGAGCTGCCGGGACTGGCTGTTCTGGGAGCGCTGCGACTGGAGCTGCTGGAGCTGGGGACTCTGGCGTTGGCGGTGCTAGCGGAGTTGGAGCTCCCGACTCTGGGGGTGGCGCTGCTACTGGTGCTGCGGACCCACCTGGTGGAGCTGCTGCTGGTACTGAGGAGTCGGACGGTGGAGCTGCTGCTGGAGCTGGGGACCCGGCCGGTGGAGCTGCTGCTGGTGCTGTGGACCCGGACGCTGGAGCTCCTACTGGTGCTGAGGACCCGGCCGCTGGAGTCCCTTCTGCTTCTAGAGACGCTGCGCGGCCGCGACCGTACTTCGTACCGCTCCTTCAGCAGGTTCTTGGGCAGGCTCCTCCTCCTTGTCCTCCTCCCTCCGTAGAGTGTCCTCCGCCTGTCCAGCCGCAGTCACAGTTACCGCCTGCCTCGCCTCTCCCTGCTCCCTCTCCTTACGCTGGTCCCACAGGAGGTCTTACAGAGCGTCGTGAGCCTGAGTCTCGTCCTGCGTCGCCTGTTCGTCCTGCTCGCACTGGTAGTCGTGTCCGTCGTGAGCGTCCTCCTCCTGTCCCAGGCACTCACTACATGACTCTGCGTCCCTCTACTGCTCCTCGGCGTGTCCCTCTACCGTCTCCTCCTGCGTCCTCTTTGCCTGCCGTTCCGGACCCTGAGTCTGACCGGTATCGCGCTGAGCACCCTACAGTCACGCGTCTCCTTGCTACTGTTGTCACTGACCCCACCTTTGAGTCCTCGGCTGCGTCTGCTTTGGTCGCTGAGTTGGTTGACTTTGCTGCTGCCTGTCGTCTAGACTATGCTGCTAGCCTTGTCGCTGAGTCAGAGTCTGCGTCAGTCTGTCCTCCGTCCGTCGGGGGTGAGTGTGCTCTTGGCACGGACGTCCTTGAGGACAGGCAGGAGGACTTTGACTCACTTGCGGCTGCTGTACCTCATCTCGTGGCCTGGTTGCTTGCCCTTGAGGGAGACCCGGATGCAGTAGACATCCCCACTCCGCGCACCTACGCAGAGGCGATCTCGGGTCCCTACTCCTCTCAGTGGCAGACAGCCATGGACGCAGAGATGGCATCCTGGAAGTCCACAGGCACCTACGTCGACGAGGTTCCCCCTCCTGGGGCGAACATCGTCGATGGCATGTGGATTTTCAGGGTGAAGCGGCCGCCAGGTTCTCCGCCTGTCTTCAAGGCTCGTTACGTTGCTAGAGGCTTCAGTCAGCGTCAGGGGGTTGACTTCTTCCAGACCTTCTCCCCCACCCCGAAGATGACCACTCTTCGGGTTCTGCTGCACGTTGCTGCTCAGCGTGACTACGAGCTTCACTCTCTTGACTTCAGCACAGCGTTCCTGCAGGGCAGCCTGCACGAGGAGATCTGGCTGCGCCGCCCACCTGGCTTTACTGGGTCGTTTCCCCCTGGTACCCAGTGGAGTCTCCGCCGGCCAGTCTACGGTCTCCGCCAGGCGCCACGTGAGTGGCACGACACACTGAGGACTACTCTTGCGGCTCTTGGGTTCGCGCCGTCTACTGCTGACCCGTCGCTGTTTCTGCGCACAGACACGTCGCTGCCGCCGTTCTACATCCTCGTGTACGTCGACGACTTGGTCTTTGCTACTGCTGACACTGAGGCACTCGCTCGTGTGAAGTCGGAGCTGCAGAAGAGACACACCTGCACTGACCTGGGTGAACTGCGTAGCTACCTTGGCTTGCAGATCACCCGGGACAGAGCTCGCCGCACCATCACCCTGACTCAGTCACACATGGTGCAGCAGGTCCTTCAGCGCTTCGGCTTCCAGTTCTCCTCACCACAGGCCACACCTCTGGCTACCAGCCACTTGCTCTCAGCTCCACCTTCGGACGAGTCCGTAGAGCCGAGTGGCCCGTACCCAGAGCTTGTAGGCTGCCTCATGTACCTGATGACTTGCACGCGACCTGACCTCGCGTACCCTCTTAGCATCCTTGCTCGTTACGTTGCGCCTGGGAGACACAGGCGAGAGCACTGGGAGGCTGCTAAGAGGGTGCTGCGTTACCTGTGCAGTACATCAGGCATGGGGCTGGTGCTTGGAGGACGCGACAGAGTTGTCCTCACTGGTCACTCGGACGCCTCTTGGGTGGACGACCTGGCTACGCAGCGGTCGTCACAGGGTTACACCTTCAGCCTTGGCTCAGGTTCTGTCTCGTGGCGGTCCACCCGCTCTTCCTCTGTTCTCGGCTCTAGTTGTGAGGCTGAGATCTACGCCACAGCCATGGCTGCACAGGAGTTACGCTGGCTCACCTACCTGCTGACTGACTTGGGAGAGCGGCCTAGTTCTCCTCCAGTTCTGTACGGTGACAACAAGGCGGCTCTTGCCTTGTGTCAGGAGCACAGACTGGAGCACAGGACGAAGCACATTGCTCTTCGCTACTTTCTTGCTCGAGAGCTTCAGCAGCGCGGTCAGCTTCGGCTTGTGTACGTGGACTCGAAGGCCAACACTGCTGATATCTTCACCAAGGCGCTCCCGCCTAGTGATCATCAGCGGCACTGTACTTCTTTAGGCCTTGTGTCCACGTTTCCTCACTTGCTCACTGCTTGACATTCTTTGTACTGTACTTTATATATATCTTGTTGCTTGCTTGCTAGGTTTTGATCACTGTGTTGCTTGTCTTGTACTATATCTAGCACTGCATGTGAACTGGCCTTGTGGCCTTTACTTGTGCTCGGAGTGTGGTGACGTTGTGATCCACCCTGGGCGTTGCTTTGCTTTGCTGGACTGGTCTTGTGACCCTTTGTTCTCCCCCACTTTGCCTATGGGGGTGTGTTAAACTGTAGTATGCTTGTAGGCTGTAGTGGGGTAGCCAATATGGGGTACAACCCCAACTAGGGTTTCATATTTGTACCCAAACTTCTGCTAGTTCATCATTCTTGCCTAGTGATTCTGACATTTGACCCCTCTTTTTCTTTTTTTAAATTCCTCTGATCTAAAACCTCTTTTAGAGTTACATCATTGTTGGATCGTACGTAGTTCCACTACAAAATTTACACCCACCGTACATCGTAACCTTCGCCTATCGTACCAAGAGGATTGTGCTCGAAAACAGATGTCGTTAACAGTGCTGCGACGGCATAGAAAAAATACGCGAACAAAACTCGAATGAGCAGGCTCCCTTTGGAGTACATGGTTACCTGCCACAATAGTCAATGGAACGTAGGAATCTCTCGAAAATCAGGGTTAGCAACAAACTATGATGGCATGCAAAAAGAAATCACTGCGCCGCCAGAGGGAACTTTGATGCCCTCCCTCTCTTCTGTTCTAGATTCTAAATCCTCCTTTAGAGTAACACTAGTCATTGGAACGTCAATGTTAAGCATGGGAATGTCTCGAAAACATGGGAATGTGTCGAATATCAAAGCATGCCACAGACTAATCCGAAGCAAGAGGGTTGCACTCTCGTCACGCGTTAAGTTCACGATCGAAATCCTAAGTACGCTAGTTACTTGAAAACAAAGCCTCAAAAGCAATTAAGGAAACACCGTGGTTCAGAGATCTAACCCTACAGCATTCAAGTCCTTATTCACGCCATGCTTTCGAGTCAAACAATGCATGTAACAGATTTAAGTTCAAATCAATGGAAACTCAAAAACTACAACATTCAGCAGACTATAGTACAGAGCTGCTGCAAACTCGAAATTACCCTCCCCATCCTGCATCACTCGTTGCCTCCCGCATTCCCCTTCCGCCGTCCCCCTTTTGTGGGCTGGGGAAAATGGAGCATCCCACCCTGATACGCGTAAAGACTCTGGTTTGCGTGACAGCACTCGCACCAGTACACCAGCACCCTCGAAACCACCTTGGCCATTTCAATAGCCTCTGCCTCCCCGGGCTCGGGATCCACAAGGCCGAGAATGGCCTTGGTGAGCACCACTTCCCAATCCGCCTTCTCGTGCGTTAGGTTCTTCACGGCCTTCAAGGTCCACACTCCGAGGCGAGCAGTAGAGGTTGCTCGACTAGCAAGGCTTGCCTCGTTGAGCGTGCCACGAGCCGCCTCATCCGCACCCTCCGCCCAGTCCTGGTGGGGAATGCCGATCGAGGCACACCACAAGGTGTAGAGGGTTGCAGCTACTCCCGCTGCATAGACCGCGGGAGTGACATTCGCGGGGGGCGACACCAGCCCACTCCCTCCGTGTACCAGGGCCTGTCCAATCCCTGTGCAAACGGCCACCTGGAAATGTGCGCCGTCCTTCACCCGTGCATTTGTCTTGTTCATGACGTTTTCGAAGCTGCACAGGCGAGGTGGGTACACGGTTAGTAAGGCAAAACGGGAAAGTGTACTAGATCTAGCTAATCCGAATCGAGTACTTACTTCTCGAACTTGTCGAGGTTCAATTCGTTCATGACACTCCAGACACCCGTCGGGAGTTCACGAGCGAAATCGAGGTGGACCGCCCACAAGCCAAGCTCGGCAGGATCCAAGCCGTAATGGGCCATGTCGGTGTCGGGGAAGTAGGCCATCCAACAGACGGCCACTGTGAAATCGCGTAGTTTCCGCTCCTTGTAGCTCCCCATGTTCCTCTTCACACCTCCGACGGTTTGCTCCGAGTTATAGCGCACGTACACCACTTCCCCCTTTTTGTTCTTCTTCTCGCGTGTGGTAAGACCACTCGATCTGAAATGCTTTGTTTCCCCCCACCGCTTCCCTAGCTCGTCTGGTAGCACATCCGCTCTTCGCGGTGCCACCTCTCCCGTCGCCTCCCCCAACGTTGGTTGAACGTTCTGATTTCCCGACACATTTTCACCGACACATTCCTCTGACGCAGCAGCCCCCAAAGACCCCTCATCCGCGTCGAAGTTCGTTCCGGTCTGGTCAATGCGAAGCCTCTTCAAAGGCGGTTGAGTCTCTAGACCTCCAGAGCCTGTCACATGTTCCGAACCCTCCACCTCCCCCACGAGGTCAACTACTTGCAGCGGTTCATCGGGAACCAATGAAATCACTTGAAGAATCCCGGCCCACCCTTCTTCCGCCTCTCCTCCCTGCCGTTGCCCCGCTGCCCCTTCCTCATCCTCCCCCGCAATCCGTCGCCTCTCGTTTTTCATTTTCTCTGTTTCCGCCTCTAACTCCATTTGTTGCCTCTCCTCTTCCTCCTTTGCGGCTTCCTCTAACCGTGCAATACGCTCGATCTCCTCCAGGGCTTTCCGACGCTCTATTTCGAGGTCTCTTTTTCGCTTTGCTGCCTCCAACCGCTTTGTTTCCGCAATCTTAGCAATCTGCTGGCGCTTAGCTTCTAACTCCGCCTCCCTCTGTGCCCGCCTCCTTTCCATCGCCTTCGCCTCCTCCTCCTTCTGCCGCTTCTCCTCCTTTTCGCGTTCCGCCTTCCTCGCCTCCTCCCTCTTCCGCTCCTCCTCCTCCTTCTGCCGCTTCTCCTCCTTTTCGCGTTCCGCCTTCCTTGCCTCCTCCCTCTTCCGCTCCTCCTCCTGCCGCTTCTGCTCCTTTTCGCGTTCTGCCTTCCTTGCCTCTGCAGCTGTACCCGCCGGTTGGTTTTCCGTCACTCTCCCCCTGCTGACAGTCCCAGGACGGTCCTCCACCCTCGTATTTCCCAACCCCTTCTCAGCCCGCCTCTTCTTTGCAGCCGTCACTTGCGCCGTCTGAAGTGCTTGCCGCTTCCGCGCTTCAGCCGTCCTCCTCTCTTCGCTCTCCTTCTCCCTCTCTTTCTGCACGTTCTTTGCTGCGTACGTCTCTCTCCAGTTTCTCCTCACTGGTTCAGACAAGTCAATATCTGCCACACCAGCGCCCGTCTCACCCGCCTCACCAGCGTCACCCTCCTCACCCTCGGACGTTGCGGCAAACCTTTCAATGACTCGTTGTGCTGAGGAGATTGGGATGTCTGGGGAATCTGCTTCGGGCTGCTTTCGCGAAGCCTTTGGTGTGGCCTCTCCCCTGGCGGTGGGTGGCTTTCGGACCTTGCTGGGTCCAGTCAGCCCTTTGAGCTTTGTTGACAGTCCTGCCAGAGCCTTCTGAATCTTGTTGAAAGTCAGATTGTTTTGGTCGTCCGCAGCCCTGAGATCCTCCCACACTGCGAGTACACTATTGTCAATAGCCGCTTGCAGGTGTTCCATGGAGGTGGATGTGAACGAGGCCTCTAGCGACGATTGCTCTATCACCTGCTCCACCACACTCTTCAGCTTCTCCCGTAAGTTCTCGAAAAACCCCTGTAACCTTTCCTCCAATGCTTCCACAGCCGCTGCTGCAGCTGCGCGACCCGCATCAGCTGCTGCCGCTCGTGATTCGGCGACAGAAGCCGAAAGAGCAGTACGCAATTGGGTTAGCTCGTCGCGTTCCCGGACCACCCCGGCCTTGAGCTCGTGGTACTCGTGTGTTAGATCATCGTAGTCCTGGAAGTAGCGGCTGTCCAAGGCTTGCATCTGCGTACCAAATTCTCGAATCTCTGCCATGCAGTCGATGAAACGAACACGTTGCTCCGACGAAGCCCTCGCCACGGACCTTGCCACCAAGGTCAGACGCCGCATCAACTCTGCTGTGGTATGCATCCTGCCGCCAGCTGCGATGCGGTCGCCAGCCTCCTCAAATCCTCGCTCCGTCTCCTCGAAAACCTGCGGCCCCGCTTGCTCCAGTCCCGCCAGTAGCGCCTCCACAGCCACCCATTCACCATCCTCTAGTTCCTCTCCCTGCACCGCAGCAGGATTCTCTGCCGCTCGTGGATGCCGCCTCTGCATGGGGAGCGCACTAGCCGCACTCTCTAGTTCCTCGTCCGCACGTCCTCCCGCCTCTCTCTGCTGAAACTCCCTGTATCGCACTCCTTCCATTCCCCATCCCACCCCACGCCAGACCTGATCCTCCGCCATTCGCTCACCCTGCCGCGTTCCAATCGCTTCACCCTCTCGCCTACCAGCTTGCCTTGACTGATCGAACCTCCTATGGTCTCCCGCGCCGACCCTGTTCCGGGCTGTTTGATCATCACGCCGGCCACCTTCCCACTGCATCATCGGCCTCGGTCCGCCTGTTCTCAATCCCGGTAAACCAACATCCGCTGCCCGACCAACAGTTGTTCCGTGATGCCCCAGGGTTGGCTGGTCGCCAACCACCACTTGCCGAGCTCCATCCGCTACATCCCGCCCCAACTGCATTGGGAAGAACCTCGCGCCCCTCTGGCCCTCAGCCACACGCCGCTGCCCCCCAGCACCTTGCTCATTCAACCCAGCAACCTCCCTCTGCCTTTCCTGCCTCTGTGTAGCGCCCCCCATCCCACGGCGCTCGTTCTCTACAGGTCGATCCCTCGGACGCTCCACACCCTGATGCACACCCGCTTGCTCCGTCTGCCTCGCCACAAACCTTTCGCGCTCGAGCCTCTGAAGCTCTTTTCTTCTGCGTTCGCTTTCAGTTCTCTTTCGTTCCCGATCCTGCCTCTGCCGCGCTTCCTCCCTTTCACGCGATTCTCGTTCCCCGGTCTCACCGACCTGCCTCTGTCGCTCTCGCTCCTCCACCCTCGCCTCCTCGCGCGTTTCTCGCTCGTTGGCCTCCACAATCTTCCCCGCCTTTTCGCGTTCCGCCTTCCTCGCCTCCTCCCTCTTCCGCTCCTCCTCATCCCTCTTCAGCTTCTCCTCCTTTTCGCGTTCCGCCTTCCTCGCCTCCTCCCTCTTCCGCTCCTCCTCCTCCTTCTGCCGCTTCTCCTCCTTTTCGCGTTCCGCCTTCCTCGCCTCCTCCCTCTTCCGCTCCTCCTCCTCCTGCCTCTTCTGCTCCTTTTCGCGTTCCGCCTTCCTCGCCTCCTCCCTCTTCCGCTCCTCCTCATCCTCCTGCCGCTTCTGCTCCTTTTCGCGTTCAGCCTTCCTCGCCTCCTCCGTCTTCCGCTCCTCCTCATCCTTCTGCCGCTTCTCCTCTTTTTCGCGTTCCGCCTTCCTAGCCTCCTCCCTCTTCTGCTCCTCCTCCTCCTGCCTCTTCTGCTCCATTTCTCGTTCCGCCTTCCTCGCCTCCTCCCTCTTCCGCTCTTCCTCCTCCCTCTGCCGCCTCTCCTCCTGTTCACGCTCAGCCTGCCTTTCCTCCTTTTTGCGCTCTTCCTCCTCCCTCTGCCGCTTCTCCTCTTGTTCGCGCTCTGCCTGCCTTTCCTCCTCCCTCTTCCGCTCTTCATCCTTCTGCCGCTTCTCCTCCTTTTCGCGCTCAGCCTGCCTTTCCTCCTCCCTCTTCCGCTCTTCCTCCTCCCTCTGCCGCTTCTCTTCCTTTTCGTGCCACACCTTCCTCGCCTCCTCCCTCTTCCGCTCTTCCTCCCTCTTGCGTCCGCGTTCCTCACTCTCCCTGTCCCCCTCCATCGCACTCACCTCTCGCTCTTGGTCCTCGAGCCTCACACGCTTCTGTTCCACCCTCCGCTTCGCCTCTTCCTCCTCGCGTGCTTCCCGCTCCTGATCATACTTCTTCTTTGTTCTTGTCTCCCGCCTCTGATACACCACCCTATTATCGTGTTCCGCTCTCAGGACCTCATCCTCCGATTCGCCTACGACATTCGGACTGCCCTGCCTCATGTCCATACCCTGCCCCTGCTCCTCCTGTTCATCATTCTCGACCGAGAGGTGCACTGCCTCTAAACCAATTGCTAACTCCTCCATCCTCTCCCCCTCCCCCCTCTGTTGTTGGGTCTCCGACCCGCAACGCTCGGTCTTATCCTCTGGTGCCCTCTGCTGCGCCTCCCTCATTCCACGCAAGATCTCGCGCGCACTCCTCTGAAAAGGTGGTTCCTCTCTGTCCATCATCTGACCCTCCCCATCCGTTACGCTCTGACGCTCGTTGGCCAGACCCATTCGTGCGCCGTCAACAACCATTGCCCCCAACGCGACTATTTCGGCGTCAATAACGGGCGGGGCACCCGTGTCCTCAGCAGCGTCCCCAACGGGTTCCAGGTCCACCTCTCCCGCATCCTCCTCATCACCTGCCGCCAGCTTGTCGAAATACTTTTTGCAGCTGGTCACTATGTCCTTGAATATATCCTCTCGCCGGTAGGGTGGTTTTCCAAGAACCCTAAATTTATCATCTCGATCATGCTGTAAGAGAATCGAGTCAAAATGATCGAGCAACTTACGCCACTGGTACGCTACATGAGAACCGCTCCTGACCTCCCTCGAGCTGACCATTGGAGTTAGCTTCTGCATGAAAATGAAAGGGAGCTGGTCAGGGCTTGTCCTGCTTAGAGGTCCGAGCTGAATTCCGAGTTTGCATTGCAAACTTACTCCCGCTATGTCGAGCCTCCACCCGCTCATAATCCGTCTCCTGATGTCGCGGAAAGTTTCCTGCTCCTCCGAGTTTGGAGTGAGTGCTTCTCCTCTAGAATATTCCGTCAAGAGCTGCACCTCCAGCCATCTGCTCGGCATGTGAATTTCCGACAAAATTAGGCTATGCTCTGCCGTACCGTCATTTGCACATGTGACGAGCGACAATAGTTAAACCTTACTTGACCATTTGAAGGGCGAGGTCAGTGTGCTTGTGTGCTGGAGAATTCGACTTGGGGTCGAAATGCAGAAGACGTGTCGCAACCGGAATATTCGGGTGGTCGGCCAAACTGTCGGGCCGAACAAGCATGAAAAGGCTACAGCGCGCTCCAGGCTCGGCAGTCATGCTGCATGGGGCGGTGGGGGGAAAGGTTAGCAAGCGCGTAAAAGCTCGGAAAATCGAACAGCCGTTGTATTTTCAGAGAAATAAAGATTGATACCGGAACCTCTACAATTCGAACTCACCTTGACCACAGCGGAAAGACTACGAGTTGCTTGCCAAGCACACCATCGAGTCTGCCAGGACCCATGGGTTCGTACGGTTGTTTCGCCCGGGCCGCGTTGACTGCACTCATGGGGATGATTTCGACTTTCGACAGCTGGTCCGCGGTCAGCCTCTCCTTTGCAATCTTCCTGCAAGAGACAACACAAGGAGCTTTCAGAGATCAGACCAGCGCTACACAACACATCCGTCTTCGCTGAAATATCTCTCGAAATAGAGATCGCTTACTTTGGGCAGTAGAATAGAGGAGACTAGTACTCGGAAGATGGTTTAAACGTTAGAGCGGCGAGAGCGTTATTTGCTAGATCGCTACTAGTACTCTACACGTGACAGAGAACGTAAATCTCGAAACGTCACACATCTATCCGAGAAACAAAACTACAAGGGCATCTTACACCATAGCAAAGTTGAGCATGTTCTCGGTCCATTCCCCACGCTTGAATCGCATGTTCTCGAACTCTAAACGAGAGAGGCGCACACGCAAGCCAGCAGCCTCTACTTCCATCGAAGGCTCCATTGACGAAGTGGTGGAAGCTGGGAGGCTGGGATCTAAGGAAGAAGTTGGACAAAAACTGAAGGAGAAGATGTAAAATGAGAAAATGACCTCCGTTGGGCATTTATACCCGCCCAACACCATCCTGAGCCTGGACTTTGAGGTCGTGTTCAAACATTCGACCCTGTATGGTTGTGGCGACAAAAAAGGTTGCATTTATCAATGGCAGTGCCACCCCAGGCCATGAAACCCATACTGACCCGCGATCTAAAGCCCTCGTATCGGGACAATCTCAATCTTGTGCTGCACTCTGAAAATCTGACAACGACAGAATCCGACCAATAACCATCTCCCCCATGCCAATTTCGAGAGTTATCCTGAGCCGCCACGTGGAGGTCAGTGATTTCGAATTCGAGTCCATGCAAGGACGGTCGATTTCGAAATTTGCCCAAATTCAGTCGCCCGATCGCTATTATTCAACTCGAAATTGGGCTACTAATTTCGCTGCATCGGGCTCGTCGAAAATGTACCTCGTATGCGCCGAACAAGCAGTTCCATTTCGGGGAAGTCACGCGAATCTTACCTCCACTCTCGAAACTGACCACCCCATTCAATGCGCTACTACAAACTACACCTAGCACAATAATGTGTTAACTTTAAACAACCAAGATTGCAAGCAGGCCTAACTAAACACATACCATTTCCCCAAACCCCACACCACAAAGCACAATGCAAGGAGGCAATCCAGGTGTAAGGCACACGATTCCAAAACAACAAAACATTGAAAACCACAATCAAATATATATGCTACCTTCCACAAACCGACCGTACTTGTAATCGATGTAAAAATCATCTAATTGACCAAAACCCAAAGGTTCAAACCCATGGAAGGACTAGGACACCATGTTAACGTTTGTTGGGGGTGGAAAACATCTAAGTCATCATAAAGAAACACAGCAAATAGACGTTGAAAACACCCTAGCAAATCATCATACGTTTTCCCCATTTTCTCACACATCATCGTTGGTTTGACATGGCATGTGTGACGGGCAGGGCATTCAAAGCCTAACATTGCATTGAATGCCTTGAAATAACAAATAAGAAAAAACAATGTTGACTTGATGATTGCCAAAGAATGACCTAGCATGTACTACTGACATACTTGAGTTGGCTAATATGAACAAAAAAGTGCAACATTTGCAAACTTTCAAAAAAAAAAAAAACAAAAACAAGTAGAGCAGTACTAGAGGAGACAGAATCCCCAAAAAAACCCATTTAAAACCAACAAAAAGTCCATAAAACCCCCTTAAAATGACCATTTTGAGCTCCACAATTCAGGCATTTGTATGGCCATCCATGAAAAAAAAAACACTGAAACGGCATTGAATAGATACCTGAAGACATGCTTTGTCCATTTCAAACATAAAAAACCCCCCTTAATACCACCCCATCATTTACACAATTCACTAATACAACATTGCATTGGAAAGAAAACCGTGGAAACAATTATACAGACTGACAGAATTTCAACAATCAACTACACTACACTGTATCGCGCGGCTGTCGTCAGCCGCTTGCGATCTAACGCTTGGTCGTCTTTTTTGTCAAGATAGGTTGCTAGGGTTTAGTCTTAGGAGCCATGCTAGGAGGTAGAGTGTCGAGGGAGTTGGCAATGAAAGAGAGTTTCACTATAGAGTCAAGGGTACAAATAGGAGACAAAGGAGGTGCACCACCAATACAAAGAGTTTATAACTACACTAAAGCTATAGCTACGGGCAGGTACATAAATATATATAAATTATATATTCTAACACTCCCCCATAACTGCCTGCAGCAGGAGCTTGTGCAGCAACAACTCCTGGATGGGTACACCACGAACAGAGAAAGCAGCAACAGGAGGCAAGTGCAATGACAACCAGTGCAGCAGTGGCAGAAACAACTGCAGAAACCCCTTAGCCAATACAGAAACGAAAGAAAGGTGCATGTGGCGCAGGTCGCCTGGAGAGCGGCGTGCGGCGGCAACGAGCGGCGGCACAGCAGGCTCAACGGCAGCACCTGCCGCTCAACAGCAGCAAACGAAAGAGACGAATTAAGTGGCAACAGGGGCTGCAGCTGGAGGTGCCACAGTAGCAGGGGGTGGCAGTTGCAAATGCAGGGCTGCTGCTTCTGCCACTCTCTCTCATACCCTCCCTCATCCCCCTTTACCCTCTCTCCCCCCCCCCCCCCACAGCAACAAGTGCTGCAGGGAGAGAGGAAGAGGGAAGGGAGGGAGGAGCGGCAGGCTCCTCACACCCGCCCCCCCCCCCCCCCCCCCCCTCCACGACGGAAGGGAGGGCGGGTGGGAAGGGCGGAATCACCCGCTGCCGGCGCTGGCGTGGGCTGCTGGCGCTGGGAGCCGGCCCCGGCGCTGGCGCTCGTCGCTGGTGCTTGTGCTGGTGCTGGCGCCCGCCGGCGCTGGCGTCCGCGGCGACGAAACGGGGGGCCCCGGCGCGTCGAAACGGGTGGCCGCGGGGCGACGAAACGGGGGGGGCCGCGGGGCGACGAAACGGGGGGCCGCGGGGCGACGAATCGGGGGCCGCGGGGCGACGAAATGGGGGGCCGCGGGGCGACGAATCAGGGGCCGCGGGGCGACGAATCAGACGGGCGCAGGGCGCGACGGGACGAAGAAAATAGCGCATTTCGCGCTGCATTAAGGGCGGGCCCATGTTTCTGAAAAAAAAAATGAAGGTTCTAGGAAAGAACCAGCTCTGAAACCATGTCAAGATAGGTTGCTAGGGTTTAGTCTTAGGAGCCATGCTAGGAGGTAGAGTGTCGAGGGAGTTGGCAATGAAAGAGAGTTTCACTATAGAGTCAAGGGTACAAATAGGAGACAAAGGAGGTGCACCACCAATACAAAGAGTTTATAACTACACTAAAGCTACAGCTACAGGCAGGTACATAAATATATATAAATTATATATTCTAACATTTTTTCACGCCCGGCGATGCGGTAACCGTCTCCCCCGTCAACTGTTCACGCTGGGAAAAAGGCTGGCGAACTGGTTACGCTTCGCCAATTATCTATCTGGAAATAGATAAAACGGCCAAGCACCGGGTCCAGCTGGGTCGTAGTTTTTCATTTCGCCTCCGGCATTTTGGGGGGGGTGGGTCCAGGTAGGTCGAGCGCCCGAGCCGCGCCCTTCCCCGTGGCCATCCACATCTATTTCGGGTGAGGTGCGAGAGGGCCACAGGGGGACACTCCGCTGCCCACGCAGCCAATATCATTGATACTCAGATTATGCCAGGCGCAATTCGCAAACGTAATCAACCGACATTCTCTCGTTATAGTAACTACATTTACATGTTACATCTAGTTTTAAGAACAATTCTAAAACAAACTCGCCACCAGCACCTCAACCTCACGTACCCAACAAAACAGGAAAAATACTATAACGCTTGGATATTGCCCTTAAATGAGCTGACAAGTGCTTAGAACTATGCCTTCCAATTGGATTATCTCAACAAAGAAACGACACCGTCCAGGAGAGCTTGCTGCCCACATGCAATTAAAAATAAGCTCCATACGGAAAGGCATCCAGTCCGGATGGCATCAACCTTAAACACCTTGGCATATGGCATTCAAGGTTGATGCCTCCGTTGCATAATGCCATTTGATGTGGTTTTAGTTTTCTTCTGTTTCATGTCAGCAGGTCTATGGTCAACGGAGGGTTGACGGTGCTGTCGACCCCATTCCGTTGAATTATTCCCAGTCTGCATCCTTTTTCCTAATAGTATTTCAAAACGCAATTTGTGCTTGATACTATTTTTATTTATTGGGTAGCACCTCGACACAGTTGTTCATATTTAACTTAGGTAATCGCGTTTTGTTTCTGTCACATCTCGGAGGAGTTATTAGCGTGTAAGTGCGATTGAAAAGCGAGCACCAATCAGTGATGAGAGATCGAGGTTGAGTACCGACGCAAACTTTCTCAGCCATACTTTGAGTATCAATGATATTGGCCGCTGCCCACGTATGGTGGAAAGCACGCACCTTTCGCGTTTCCAAACGAACTGCAAGGCTCGGTGGCGAGCTTGGTTCGGCTCGGTCGGACCACAGCCAAAGGGCTCACACAGATGTTGTGCTTCGAAAAAAACAGATTCATCGGTAAAATGTGCTGGTTTTGGAAGAAACACTGGCAGGAAAGTCAAATATCGGGGATAGATTATGCAGACATTGAAGTTCGAGGAATTCGCCTTCACTGTCGCCTGCTTCTCATCGGGCGACAGGTACGCGCGCTTCGCTGCTTCCCGTGAGCCATGCTCCGCGCGCCCGCCTCTCCCCCATCCAACAACGCCGCCGCGCCCGACCATCGCGACGCCACTCGTCGCCCTCCTTCCAGATCGCTCGTCGCCGCGTCACGCGCCACGCCGCGAGGCCGCGAAAGCGACGATCGCAGCTACTGCCGGGGCAGGGAGCCGCTCCGACCGCCGCACCTCGCGCGCCCTGCGCTTTCCGCCTCGCGCCCGCTTGCGCCCATTCGACCGCGTGCCCCGCGCGCAATGGCAGCGAATCTTGGTAGCGGTGCTGTCCTTAACGGGGATCGCGCTCGCTCTGGCTCCGCTGGCGGGTGGCGGGCGATGGCGGCGGGCGATCTCCTATCCATGGCGTCTTCCTGTGCTGCGACGAGCTGGCGACGACGCCATGCGACACACTGCCTGGCCCAGCGACGCGGACCTGCAACTATCCGACGACAGAGACGGCCGCTTCGCGGGTGGATGGGGCGGAGGGGGGAACATGGGCCAAGGGCTGGCGGCGCAGGGGGATGGGGGGAGCGCGGGGAATGGTAGCTGGGGTTGGCGCAACTGGAAGGGTGCGGGGGAAGGTGAGCTGGGCGGGGGGCTGAGTGAAGCGCGGAGGAGGGAGGCGCTGCAGGGGCAGGAGTGGGGCAGCAGAGGGGCGCGGCTGAGAGCGCGGGCTGCGGGGGAGCAGAGCCGGCGAGGCGTGGGCGGTGGGGGCGCGGGGGAGCAGCGGGCGGAGGTTTCAAGGGGCGAGCAGGGCGGCGAGGGGGCGAGCGAAGGGGCAGCGGGCAGCAGCGGTGGCGGAGGCGGGCAGCAGTATGGCGTGCAAGCAGTGCAGCGGGAGGCGTGGTGGACGGCGTTCCAGAGAGGCGCGGCTGTGAGCTCACAGGGCGTCCACCAGTGCTCCTCACTGCTGCCCCCCGATATCCAGCCACTCAACGTGTGCGTGCTCTCCCCCCCTCACACACACGCCTCCTTGTGCTCTCATGGAGTTCCTTACTGCTCCTTTTCTCCCTCTCTTTCTCACACTCGCCCTCCCTTCGCTTTCCCCCCTGCAATTCCATCCCTCTCCCATCCCCATGGTTCTGCCATCCCCATCTCTCGCTGCACCCCTGTCCCCAACCACAACAGCGCGCGTGTGCCCCCCACGGCGCGCCTGTCAGTGGCGGACCTGACACTGCCGGACGCGCGGTGGCTGCTGGTGGTGCCGCGGCACGGCGTGGGCAACTGCGAGGGTGGGTGTCCGCCGTGCCCTACGCCGTGTTGTCCGGCCGCACCCTCGTGCGCGCCCACGCCGCACAGCACAGCCGCGTGCTCGACACCCTCTGCCTCGCCTTCCACTGCGCCTTCCCCGCGCTGCAAGGCCCGCTCTCCCTCGCTGCCACTGCAGGGCAGGGCGGCAGGGCGGGGAGTGAGGGCGAGAGGGAGAGGGAGGCGGAGGAGGTGATGGCGGCAGTGAGGGCGCTCGACCCCATGTTCTTCCTGGAGATCTCCGACACGCCTCAAGGTAATCAGTCATGCCACGCAAGCAAATCGATTTGACTTTTGAGTCGACTCAAAAATCAACTCGAGAGGGAGGCGGAGGAGGTGATGGCGGCAGTGAGGGCGCTGGACCCCATGTTCTTCCTCGAGATCAGCGACACGCCCCAAGGTAATCACACTTGCCACACAACACAAGGAAATCGATTCTTCGCATGTCTCAGTTCAGACTCTGTGCACCCTGCCCTTCCATGCTGCACTGCCACGCTAGACTGCTCCTCTGTCCTGTGCTGCATGCCCCTCTCCCCCCCCCCTGCCACGCCCCCATGCAGCGGTGGCGGAGACAGTGCCATCGGACTACCCCCTACTGGCCACGCGTGCCGGAACCTTCTTTGATGCCTTCTGGGAGCGCTCGCCCCCGCTGCGCGCCTGTGTCTTTGCCGCCTTCCACTGCGCGTCCCTCCACTGCGTGCGCTCCAAAGCCCTCTTCGCCCTCCTCGGCGCCGGCCCCTCCCCCGCCCTGCTGCTCGCCACCCGCTCCGTGCTGCGCGGCCCAGCCGGCAGTGAGGGGGAGGAGGTGGGCCGTGCAGGTGCAGGGGATGAGGGGAAATCTGGCGGGGTAGGGAGGAAGGGTGGTGAGAGGGCAGGTGCAGGGCGCGTGGCGGAGCAGCAGACGCACAAGGGGCTGACAAGGGTAGGTGAGGCGGCCCCTGGGCAGTCCACCAAGCGGCACCTCCTTAGTGTGGGGGGCAAGGTTGCAAGGGACGGAAGGGGGAGGGGTGGAGGGGCGGCGGAGCAAGGGGAGGTGGTGGGGGAGGGGGCGGTGTGGTTTGATGTGGCGGTGCATGTGCGCACTCGCACTCTGGCCGTGGAGAAAGCCGTCAAGCCCGGCAGCACCGACACGCAGTGGCAGGGGTGCACCGATGCAGACGCCCACCCCCCCGCGTCGCCATTCATGCAGGACTGCCTGTGGCGCTGCGTGCTCTCCACCGTCGCCCTCCTCGCTGCCAACTCCACCACCAGCACCAGCAGCAGCAGCAGCAGCGGCAGCAGCGGCCATGCGGACACGCAATCAGTGCCCTCGGCAGGAGAGCGGGGAGGGAGGGGGGTGTCGGTGTTTGTGGCAACGGACAACGAGGAGCTGCGGCCCGCGTTTGTGGAGCGCCTGCAGCGCATGGAGGGAGCACACGTGTACTGGTCCGCAGCAGCAGTGCGCCACACGTCCAAGGCGGGCACCGATGGGCAGGCGGGGCAGGGGGGCCTGCATGGGCTGGCGGACTGGTGGTTGCTGTCACGCGCCTCTGCTGTGCTGCAGGTGGCACATGCGAGCTCCTTTGCCTACTTTGCTGCTCTCTTTGCTAACAGCACTTTTGCTTCGATTTCCACGCTAAATGGCCGCTGTGATGTGCATTATGAGCATATAGCTGAACCTGTTACATGAGTAACGGCTGTCGCTTAGCTAAATAATCTAGTGCTTGGCGTCACCACACGAAACCGTCTAACAGACTGCAATGAACACATCATAGAACACATCAAGAGTGAGCTTTTCGCAATGACACATACTGCTCTTGTCAAGGAACCTGCTCCACATATGCCTGCCCTTGCCTCTCGCTCTCCCTCACATCCATCCCTCCACACAGGACACGAATCTCCTTGGTTCTTTTTCCAATGCCTGGGCGCTGCACTCATGCTGGCGCGTGTGCCTGGGCGGGGTCAGGCTGGCCTGGTGTGGTGGTGAGGGGGCGGCCGAAGAGAGCAGCAATGGCGGCCGTGGGGTCGCTGGTGCGCACCAAAGACTCGCCCACCAGCACCTGGGGGGGAAGAAAGGGGGAGGGAGAAGGTGCAGGTGTGGAGGATAGGTGCAGGTGTGGAGGATAGGTGCAGGTGTGGAGGATAGGTGCAGGTGTGGAGGATAGGTGCAGGAGATGGAGGAGGTGAGAGCAGCAAGGCATGCGGCCCAAATGGCCGCGGGGGAGAAGGGGGAGGTGGGGAGGAGCGGGTTGGTGCGGTGCGTAACAGATAAACATGAGGAACGGTTGGTTAGTGGTGCATGGAGGGCAAGCAGGTTGGGCAAGCAGGTTGGGCAAGCAGGCTGGGCAAGCAGGTTGGGCAAGCAGGTTGGGCAAGCAGGCATTGCAAGGTGCACTCACAGCATTGCAAGGTGCACTCACAGCATTGCAGCCGGCGTTTTGCACTCACAGCATTGCAGCCGGCGTTTTGCACGAAGGCAATATCGTCGGGAGTGAAGAGGCCTGACTCGCCCACCACCTGCCTCACAGCACAGCACAGCACACCATGGGCGCATGGGGGCATGGGGAGTAGCACAAGGGAGCATGGAGGCTTGGTGTGCATGGTGTCATGGAGGGCAGCTGTGGCACAGTGGAGGCTGATTGATGCATGGTGCGCATGTGAGAGGCGAATGCCAGTATACACTTGCACATCCCCACTGAACGACTTCCCTGCCCTCCCCCCCTCACTATTATCCCTTCCCCCCTCACCATCATCCCTCCCCCCTCACCATGATCCCTCTCTCCCGGATGGCGGCGCCCCTCTCCCCCGCCAGCAGCTGCTGTGTGTTGCCTATGTCCACCTTGAACGTGCCTGGAAAGGGGGTGGGGTGGGGGGGGGGGGCGGGGAAGGAGGGAGAAAGGGCGGAGAAGGTGGGGGGCATGTGGTACACAAGGGGGCAGCGGCACGTGCAGTGGACCATGGCAGCGCAGCATGGCAGCGGGCAGCATGGCAACTGGTGGTGGCGTAGCCAGGGGGATGGGCAGTGTGAGGGGGATGGGCAGTGCGAGGGGGATGGGCAGTGCGAGGGGGATGGGCAGTGCGAGGGGGATGGGCAGTGCGAGGGGGATGGGCAGTGCGAGGGGGATGGGCAGTGCGAGGGGGATGGGCAGTGCGAGGGGGATGGGCAGTGCGAGGGGGATGGGCAGTGCGAGGGGGATGGGCAGTGCGAGGGGGATGGGCAGTGCGAGGGGGATGGGCAGTGCGAGGGGGATGGGCAGTGCGAGGGGGATGGGCAGTGCGAGGGGGATGGGCAGTGCGAGGGGGATGGGCAGTGCGAGGGGGATGGGCAGTGCGAGGGGGATGGGCAGTGCGAGGGGGATGGGCAGTGCGAGGGGGATGGGCAGTGCGAGGGGGATGGGCAGTGTGAGGGGGATGGGCAGTGCGAGGGTGAGGGTGGGCGGGGTCGCACCGAGGTCGCGGTTGTTGATGCCGATGAGCGTGACGCCCTCCAGTGCCAGCACCCGGTCCATCTCCCTCTCCGTGTGCACCTGGGGGGGTGCGGGGGGGGGGGATGGCACGGAGGCACGATGCAAGGGGGGCAGGGGGACGATGGGGCAGGGGAGAGACATGGGAAAATGGGGCAGATGGGAAAGTTGGGGCGGGCGCAAGAGCAGCGGTGAAAGGGCAAGCAGACAGAGGGAGCAGGGCAGGGAGGCAGGGAGGCAGGGAGGCAGGGAGGGAGGGAGGCACCTCGATCAGGGCGGCCATGCCGAGCGAGTGCGTGATCTTGATGAGGTAGCGCAGGTCCTGGTCGGGCAGCACAGCGGCGATGAGCAGCACGGCGTCCGCGCCCTTGGTGCGCGCGCAGTACACCTGCCACGCGTCCACCACGAACTCCTTGCAGAGCAGAGGGCACTCCACGCCCGCTGCTCGGATCAGCGCCAGGTTCTCAAAGCTGCCCTGGGGGACACAAGGACAAGGGAGCAGGGGAGGGCCACGACAGGCGTGAGGACGGTGGTGGTGGGCGGTTGGATGGCGGACGTTGGGTGGTGGGCGGGATGTAGTGCGTGGGGCAATGCTGGGTGGGAGGGATGCCCTTGGTGCGCGTGCAGTACACCTGCCATGCGTCCACCACGAACTCCTTGCACAGCAAAGGGCACGCCACGCCCGCCGAACGGATCAGCTCCAGATTCTCAAAGCTGCCCTGGGAGGGCGGCACGGGGGGGGAGGGGAGCAGAGGGGGAGCAGGAGATGGGGGAAGGTGGTGGTGGTGGTGGACGTTTGGGTGGTGGGAGGGAAGTAGTGCGTGGGCAAAGATGGGTGGGAGGCATATGTGTGTGGTGCATTCCATGTGAATGCTGTTGTGTGGTAGGATGGCTTGATACAGCGAGCAGGCAGTGAATGCCATCCACATGGATGGGGTGCAGGTGGGGGAATTGACAGCTGGTGCGAGTGCAAGTGCGAGTGTGTGTGTGCGCGGCACCTGGAAGAACTTGGAGTCGGTGAGCACTGACAGGCACGCCGCCCCGCCCTGCTCGTACGCCTTCGCTATGCGCACCTGGGGGGGTGGAGGGGAGAGGGAGGCACAGGCAGGTGGGAGGGAGAGAGGCGCAGGCGGAGGGGGAGGAGTTGGTAGCAGGCGGAGGGGGAGAAAAGCACAGGGTGGGAGGTTGCAGTGCGTAACGCAGAGAGCATGCACAGTGCAGGCGGATGAGCGCAATGCGAGCCGCAACGCAGGCGAAGACGCGCAGCGGCAGATCCAGCCAACGGATGGCCGCATGCGAAGCGGGGGGGGGGGGGCGAGCGAGGGGGAGCGCATCGATGGCGGAGTGAGGGAGGGGGGGAAGCGAAAGGGGGCCGGGGGCATACAGGGTCGAAGTGGGGTTGGATGACCCCGCGGCTGGGCGACGCCTTCTTCACCTCCGCGATCAGCGCCGGCACGCCCGTCTCCGCCTCGCGCGCCCTCAGCGCACCCACGAAGTCGCGCGCGGGCGGAGCGCCGTCGAGCGCGCGCGCGAGCGCGGAGAGCGGCGTGCGCTCCTTGAACGCCGCCACCTCCCCGTCCTTGTGCCACACGATCTCCTCCAGGATGTTTCGCGGAACGTTCTCCTCCACCTTGCCGCCCACGCGGAACTCGAACGGCCCCACCAGGTGCGCCGCGGCTCCCCCCGGCGGCCTCCGCCGGATGGTCACTCCGTCGCGCTCCTCCGCCGCCGCCTCCGCCTCCCGCTGTTGCTGCTCCGCCCACCCCGGCGGGGGCACGGGGATTGGGGAGGGCGCCGTCTGTGATTCCGCTGGCGCGGGGGACGGGTCGGGGGAGGCTGACGCGCGCAGGACTGGCAGGCGCTGCGAAGCGGGGGAGAGGGGGGAGGAGGGGAGGAAAGAAATCGGAGGCGACGGAGAAGAGGGAGGAGTCATTGGCGCGCGGAATACAATTGGCGAACATAAGGCGCTGAGGCGCGGGGAGCGCGTGAATGGGGGCCGGAAGCGACGGACGAGAATGATGCGCCCCGCGCGGCATGGGCGCGCAGCACGAAGTGCGCCGGGCAGAAGGCGCAACGGGCAGGCGGCACTCACACGAACGGGCTGCGCCATTGTCGATGCGCTCGTTGCGGCGGAGCGCCACGTGGCGAGCGGGGAGCAGTGCGGGAGGGAGTGCGTGAGCGCGGTGGGCGCGCGGAGGGCGGCCATGGGGGCGCGCGGGAAGGACGGAGATGCGCGCTGCGCGTTGCACGTGGTCGTGCAGAACGGACTAGCGCAAGGAGCTGAGAAAGAGACAGGAGTTGGTGTGGTGGCGCATGAAATGCGAAATGCAGTGCACGACTGCCAGGTTGTCTCAGCGAACCAAAAACCCAACCCAACCTCAGCAGAAACAGACTGATCAATTTCGCCGTTTTGGTTACAATCGCCAATGTTCCTCGCTACACCCCAAACCTCGCTCCCGTATCCTCCCCGCCATCTATCGTGAGCGCGCGTGCGCCGACCGTTGGAATCGTCGTGTCGCCACGCATGCTGTCGTCGCGCCGCCTCTCGTTGCTCCGCATGCAGATTCCCCACCCTCGCCCGCGCGCCTCCACCGTGCAACCTCCGCTGCCGCGCCTCCCGCGCCTCTGCATCTCTCTGCGCCATGCGCCATGTCCACGCGTCCCTGCCTCCTGCGCCAGCCTCCGCGCGCTCATCGCCTCGCAGCCGACCGCGACCCAGCGAGGGGCGCGAGGGATTGTAACAAATGGGCATGTATCGAGTGGCTCAGTGTCGGCGAGTCAGATGAGTCGTCTGGCCTCAAGGTACCTGCTTTCTGCGCGCCAATACGCGCCTACCACCCCGCGTCGCGGAATAAGAGCGTGGGACCGCGGTGAGAGCCGTGGGTACAGCGCGATGCGCGCGAGAGGCGGAAGACGCGCAGTGGCGGGGCGAAATATCGTGGCATATGGGGTTGGGAGTGGGGAAGCGGAGAATAGAGGAGGGGAAGAGGGACGGATAGGAGGGATGGGTTGCGAGGAGAGTGAGGGCGAGGGAGAGGGCGAGATGGAGTGGTGGGAGGAGGAATTCGGTGACTCTGCGAATGGGGAGAAAGAGGCGTACGAGAGCGCAGGAGAGGGGGGAAACGACGCGCAGTCGGGGGAGGAGCAGGCGGGCGCGGAGGCGGCGCGGCGGGCGGCGGTGGTGGCGTACCTGGAGGGGGAGGGCGTGGCGGTGGAGCTGCTGGAGGGCGTCGCGCTGCCGCTCGACGTGCGCGTCGTGCGCGAGCGCGTGCAGTTCCTGCGCGCGCTGCGCCTCGACGTCGCGGAGGTGAGGAGGGACGCCGGTCCACGCGCGCGAGAAGGGAGAATGTCGGCATTCATTTCCCCCCCTTCCCTCCCCCCTCCTCTCCCCCCCCTCCTTGTGTGCATCACCCTTTCCGCTCATTTCTCCTCCCTGCGCACTCATCCCCCCGCCCCCTTGCGCCCCTCGTCCCCGCAGGTGGTGGGGCGGTATCCCCCAGTGCTGTGCGGGAGCATAGCGCGCAACTACGTGCCGGTACTAGCGCACCTGGAGAGCATCCCCATCGCGCGCGCGCACCTGCCCGCGCTGCTCACGGCGTACCCGCGCGTGCTCTTGTCGTCCGTGCGCATCGACCTGCTGCCCGTGCTGCACTACCTGCAAGGCCTCGCCGTGCCGCCCGCCGCGCTGCCCTCCGTGCTCACGCGCTGCCCGCACCTGCTGGGGCTGCGACCCGAGGGCAGCATGAGCACCAGCGTGGCGTACCTCGTGGGAATCGGCGTGGATCCCAAGGCCATCGGCGAAATGATCGTGCAGTTACCGCATCTGCTCACCATGCGCGCCGCCACCACCATTCGACCCAAAGCCGAGCTGCTCTCACACGCCCTCGCGCAGCCGCTCCCCCAGGTGACAAGGTTGCTGCAGGCGCGCCCCCACCTGCTCGCACTGGACCTGCACGCCCAACTGCACCCCGCACTCGCCGCCCTGCGTGCTGCCGGCCTCACCGTCCCGCACATGCGTGCCGCTGTCACCGCCTTCCCACACCTCCTCGCGCTGCCGCTGTCTGATCTCCTGCCGCCCACAGTCCAGTGGCTCTGCTCTCACGCGCACGTGCCGCCTGCGGCCGTGCCGGCAGTGCTAGCAGGGCTGCCACAGCTGGTGGTGGCGGACAGGCGGCACGCAGAGGGGAAGCTGCAGCGGCTGCGGGAGAGAGGGTTTTCACAGCACCAGGTGGCGGCGCTGCTGGCGGGGTGCCCTCAGGTGCTGGGTCAGCGTGGGGAGACCATTGATAGGAAGCTCACAGTGCTGCTGCAGCACCGGTCGCATGCTGACGTGGTGGCCTTTCCCCCGTGCCTGGCGTGCCGAGAGGAGGTGCTGGAGGAGAGGCTGGGAGCAGCACAGAGTGCCGGGGTGAGAGGGTCGCTGGAGTGGCTGTTGGACTGCCCTCCTGCCACCTTCCATGAGCGCTTCAGAACCGAGTTTGTAGTGCTGCCACCCCCTGTTGAGGTGGTCATGCAGGAGAGAGAATAATGCTGCTGGGACACACACATGGGCCATGCTTGATGTTGGAAGGAAGAACGTGCTGAGAATCACAAATGCCTCACATGATCTATGTTGGAATAGAGGTGCTGCTGGTGGCACCCCATACTCATAGAGATGCCCTCAAAAAAGGCCTTCGGATGAGAAACATGACATTTGGTGTGCACAGTGGCAGAGTGGCATGCATGCCTCCGTCAGCCAGCTGTTCCTAGAAATAGATGGGGTGTCTGTGGAGTGTGAATTCTCGCGTGAAAGTTAAACAAATTTGTACATTTTGTAACAGTTGTGATTCTGGTTACATCGCCGTGATTGGCGCCTCATTTCAAGCCACCTGGGGTCAACAGACCAGTGAGGGGATTCCAAGGCGCCGTCCCTCCCGCCAAGCCCTTCCCACCTCGAGCTTCCCGCGCAGCAGCAGCAGCAGCAGCAGCAGCAAGGAGCAGGTGCTTCGCTTCACTTCACTCGCGACTGTGTGCTTTGCTGAGAGTGCTTACATCCCTGCTGCTGTCGTCTTGCTTGACTTGACCGAGCCATAGCGGAGGCATGCTACGACATGCGCGTAAGTTAGGGCACCAGCAGTGCACGTGAAGCCGACATTCTCCGATGCCATTTAGCGGCCTCGATTAAAATCCGTTCATCCGTCACTAATTTCCGTGTTTCTTTTTGAACTAAATTTCGTTTTCAAAACGCTCCGCGCGCGGTTGGATGGAGTGCGCTATTTTTGCTTAGTTCACCAATTCCCTTTCCGCGCGCATCGCTTGCATCCTGGCGTCGCCGCTAGCCTCGGCGCCCGGCTCGGCGCGCTGCGATGGACGCCGTGTACGGATTACTGTCGGGCAGCTGGCTGCTCGGCACCCCCAAGGCGCCGCCAAAACCGGAGCCAGCAGATGACGTGGACAGGCCAGTGCCGGAGGAATGGAGGTCCAAGTACCCCTTCAGGTGCGCGCGCTCGCCGCTCTAGCCGCGTGCTGCCGCTAGTCCGTCGCGCAATAGGCTCTTCCCGTTGAGTCGCCACGCGCAATAGTCGTCGCGCCTGGCATTGGCGCGCTGTCAAGCATATCCACTTCCATGCCCATGCCCATGCGCATGCGCATGCCCATGCCCATGCCCATGCCCATGCGCATGCGCATGCCCATGCCCATGCCCATGCCCATGCCCATGCCCATGCCCATGTCCGTCCGTCAAGTTAGTTCTCGCCGCCACTGCATCCGCCAACCGCGCCTTCCCCGCTCCCCGCTCATCACTCCCCCTGTGCGCCGTGCCGTCCGCGCGCCCCTTTCCTCGCAGAAGCGACGATCCCACGGAGCAGCGCCTGAAGCAGCTGCTGGAAGCGTACGAGGAGTCCAGCAGAGAGGTGAGGCGTCGTGCAGAGAGGTGAGGAGTGATTCAGCGAGGTACGATTGTAGAGAATTCAGACGAGTATGAAGGCGCACTTACGATGAGGGAAATGGGAATGAGTCTCCGTTCGACGACCCTGCTAAATTTCAAACCTTTTGCGTCAGCTTACACTGCTCCTCTTCCCCCCTCCTCCCCTCATCCCTTTCTCCCTCCCCCTTCCCCTCGCTCCCCCCCCCCCCACCTGCGCGCGGCGCGCGCGCAGGGCGCGTCGGCGGCGTCGAATGCGACGCTGCTGGTGTTCCTGTCGGCGCTCGTCGAGGCGTACGCCGACTGGTTCCCGCCCGAACCGGACCCCGACCAAGATGCGCACGCGCGCGCGGATGACGCGCACGACGACGCGCAAGAGGGCGACGGCGCGGAGGGCGAGGGGGAGGCGGGCGGTCAGCGGCTGGGGCACCCGCTGGAAGTGGTGCGGTGCGTGGCGCGCCAGCTGGCAGAGTTTGCACGCGTGGCGAAATGTGAGTGGCCGCAGCGATGGATTGGTGGGTTATGTGTCAGAGATTATGGTTGCAGTGCTTATCGTTGGTGTGGTGCTTCAAGTCAGCCCCTCCCTCGCACAGCCCCCTCTGCCTCCACTCGCTTCTCACTCAACTCCCTCCCTCCCTCTCACCGCCTGCCTCCCTCCCGCCAGCACGAGGGCCATCTGCGTCTGCAGAGAATCAATCAGCCAATCAAGACGCGCCAGGTGGCAGCGCATCAGAGGGCCAGAGCCGATCGGCAGTGGGCAGCACGACGCTGTGGATCGCGTCGCTGGCCATGGGCGCGGGCAGGGGCGCGGGGGGGGCGCGGGGGGCGGGGGGGAGGCGGGGGGGGACTTGGAGGAGGAGGCGGCGGCGTGGGACGGCACGATGCTGGCGCTGCGCGCGGCGTCCATCATCTCGCGCAGCGCGCACAACCGCCGCCTGCTCGCCTTCTTCCGCTCCGTCTCCGCCGCCATCCACATCCTCTCCGGTCCGTCCGTGCTCACTGCACCACCCCTCTTCCCCCCTCAACCCCGCCCTCCCCTGCTCCATCCACCATTCACATCCTCTCCGGTGGAACCAAACCCCCCGCACCCCCTGCTTATGCTCTCACTGCATAACACCCTCTGCCTCCCACACCCCACAACCGCTTCTCCCCCCATTCCCTCCCTCCCTCCCTCCCTCCCCCCTTCCACTCCCCTTTTCAATTCCTATTCCAGCTTCCTCTCTCCCTCCTGTCCTACGCTCAACCGTCTCATCTTCCCCCGTTCCGCCCCTCCCCCTCTCTCCCCTCCCCCCAGGCATATCAGCGGATCTGCGCGTGGCAGCGGCGCCCATCATCGCCACGCCCATGCCCTCGCCACACCCTGACCCCCCCCGCACCACACCGGGCAGGAGCATCAACAGCAGCACTAGCAGCAGCGGGCGTGGGGCGGGCGCTGCATGGGGGGCAGAGTTTGGGGTGAGGCAGGCAGGGGGCGACCGCGAGGGGGATGCCACCTCAACGGCAGCTGCTGCTGCAGGCAGTGCGGGCAGGGAGGGGAGTGGAGCAGCGGGGGCGGCGGGGGCAGCGGGGGCAGCAGGGGGACCAGCAGCGTGGTTGAGTGGGGAGCGGCGCGGAGTGCTGGTGGGCGTGCTGCTGAGCTGCGCCACCAACGCGCTCGCCCTGCTCGCCAACTTCCTCGACGCTGAGATGCGCCAAATCGCGCAGCACCAAGCCCTACCCCCCACCCACGCCCCGCCCTTCTCCTCCCTCGCGCAATCCCCCGCGCGCGCCTCCCCCTCCCCCCGCAGTGGCGCCGCCTCCCCGGGACTCCTGACCTCCCCCTCCGCCTCCGCCCGCCTGCGCAGCAGTGGCAGGAGCAGCGGCAGGTGGGGGGGGCGGGGGCTGGGGTTTGGGGAGGAGCTGGCGGGGACGGCGTGGGGGGGGAGGGTGGGGGCGCGGGGGGCGGAGGGGGAGGATGCGCAGGCCGGGATGCGCGAGGTGCGTGCCATCGTGGAGGCCGTGGAGACCAAGGGGCTCGCTGCCCTGCTCGGTAAGTGCTCATGTCCGCTCCTGCTCAGTGCTAGCCCCCACCCGACCCCCCATCCCACCCCACCCCATTCCAAACCACGCCACCCATCCCACACTGCCCACTCACCCGCCCTTGTCACCAACCCCCCTCTCCTGCGCACGTATGCAGCACTCATCTCGCCACTGCGGGAGATCCAGACGAAGCGGGCCGCGCACTGCATAGAGGCGGGGGGCACGCTGCTGCTGGCGCTGCAGGTGATGCGGTCGGTGGTGTACGCCAGTGTGACAGCACGCGCCTCCTTCATCGCCTCGCAGGGCCTGCACCACGCCCTCGACCTCATCGCCTGGCCCTCGCACCTCCTGCACTGCCACCTGTGAGCAACCGCCCCTCACTTCCACCTGTGAGCAACCGCCCCTCACTGCCACCTGTGAGCAACCGCCCCTCACTGCCACCTGTGAGCAACCGCCCCTCACTGCCACCTGTGAGCAACCGCCCCTCACTGCCACCTGTGAGCAACCGCCCCTCACTGCCACCTGTGAGCAACCGCCCCTCACTGCCACCTGTGAGCAACCGCCCCTCACTGCCACCTGTGAGCAACCGCCCCTCACTGCCACCTGTGAGCAACCGCCCCTCACTGCCACCTGTGAGCAACCGCCCCTCACTGCCACCTGTGAGCAACCGCCCCTCACTGCCACCTGTGAGCAACCGCCCCTCACTGCCACCTATGAGCAACCGCCCCTCACTGCCACCTGTGAGCAACCGCCCCTCACTGCCACCTGTGAGCAACCGCCCCTCACTGCCACCTGTGAGCAACCGCACCTCACTGCCACCTGTGAGCAACCGCCCCTCACTGCCACCTGTGAGCAACCGCCCCTCACTGCCACCTGTGAGCGCCCCACATGGGACACGCGCCTTCGCTGCTCCTTGCTCTGCCACCAGCTGACTGCCAGCGCCTGTGCTGCTGTGTGACCCTCCTCCCGCTTTGTTCACTTCAGCTCACCCGTGCCTCATCCCTCCTCCCTCTCCATCCTTGCTCCCCACCCTCATCTTTGCCCGTGCATGGGTGCATGGGTGCACGTGTGTGGCCCCAGCGAGCGCATAATGGAGTTGGAGAACGATCTGTTTGAGGAGTTCAGCATTCAGCTGCTCGCATTCTCCGTCATCCAGGAAGCCATGTATCCACTTTCGCCCGCCGCTGCCCTGCGCCCTGCCTCCTGCCTCGCTGCACCCGCAATCTCATTCTTCCTTCTGTTCGCTTCACTTGCCCTCCTGCTAACATTCAGTCGACCATCTTTGTATTGTCTTCTGGCCTTCTCCTTCTCTTTTACTTGAGCCCGCATTTCAACCTTCTCCCTCCCACCGCCATGACCCTTTGATAGAATTCAAGAATGGTTGAGTAATGAGCCAAGGAGGCTCTATAGTACAAGCATGCAAAGAAGAGAGGTTCGAAGAAGGTGCAACCCTATTGGTTACTAAGTTGGCCAATGGGTGAGTTGCCTTGTGGAGTAGGGAACCCCACAATGTTGCTAGCTTGTGATTGGTTGGCCTTAGGACCAAATGTTGGCAAGTGCCAACCAAGGACCAAGACCAAACCAAATCTTGACCCAACCACAAAGTGTGGTTGGAGTGTACACCCAACCCCCCAATAGCTTAAAGAGCTACACCTATTCTAGCCTATGTATGTTGTATATATAAGATACATTTACAACACAACCCCCCAACATGCATAAGGCTAGAAAAAATGTAATCAGGAGGCCGCCAAAACTGGTGGCGGGGTGAGCCCAAGGAGACGCAACAGGAAGGAGTGGGACGCTAGGGGAAGAGCTTTGGTGAAGATGTCGGCGAGGTTGGCTGCCGAGTCGATTTTGCCAAGACGAATGTGGCCGGCCTCAACGAGATCGCGAATGAAGAAGTAGCGAAGCTCAATATGTTTTGAGCGCCCATGATACACAGCGTCCTTGGTGAGGTGGATGGTGCTGGCGTTGTCACACCAGATGGTGGGACAGCGTTGGGGGGCTCCGAGCTCATCAAGGAGGAAGGTGAGCCAGCGTGCTTCTTGCGCGGCCATGGTCGCAGCATAGAGCTCTGCTTCGCAGGAGGAGAGGGCGACGGCAGAGGAGCGTGTGGACCGCCAGCTGATGAGACCGCTGCCGAGGGAGAAGCCATAGCCCTGAGAGGACCGCCGATCCGGTCGAGAATCAGCCCAGGAAGAGTCGCTGTAGCCGTTGAGGTGTGGTGGGGAAGGGCCGCCAAGAGTGAGGACATAGTCCTTGGTGCCACGAATGTAGCGAAGGACACGCTTGGCGGCCTGCCAGTGCTCTTCCGTGTGCTTGCCAGCGCCAACGAACCGAGCGAGGACGCTGATGGGGTAGGCAAGATCGGGGCGAGTGGAAACCATGGCGTACATGAGAGAGCCGATGAGTTCCGGATAAGGATGGGAGGAGGGAGAGGGAGAGGAGGGTGGGGAGAGGTGGTGCCCAACCGAGAGGGGAGTGGGCTGGGGGTTGCCGCGCGCCATGTCAAACCGGTCCAAGACCTGCTGGAGGTAGTGACCCTGAGAGAGTGAGATGGTGCGGGCGGAGCGGTCGCGAGTGATGGTCATGCCGAGGTAGTTCTGCAGCTCTCCCAGGTCTTTGCACTTGAGACGGCTGCCCAGCTCCGCCTTGACAGTCTCGAGCTCGGCAAGGTCGGCGGTGAGGAGGATCATGTCGTCAACATAGACGAGGATGTAGAAGGGGGAGGGAGAGGTGCGGAGGAAGAGGCTGGCGTCAGAGCGGGAGGTGCGAAAGCCAAGCTCAGCAAGGGTGGCAGCAAGCTTGGCATGCCACTCCCTGGGTGCCTGACGGAGCCCGTACACGGGTCGGCGCAGCTGCCAGACGGAGTCGGCGGGGAAGGGGAGGTGGAAGCCGTCTGGGCGCTCCATGTAAATGAGTTCACGTAGTACGCCTTGCAGGAAGGCGTTGGAGACATCCATCGAGTGGATCTCCATGTTGAGGCGAGCGGCGAGGTCGAGTACAGCGCGAACGGTAGCAGGTTTGGCGGTGGGGGAGAAGGTGTCGAAGAAGTCAAAACCATACCGCTGCGTGAAGCCCTTGGCGCAATACCGGGCCTTGTAGACGGGTGGTTCTCATGGTAGTTGTTTGACGCGAAACACCCACTTCCCCTTTACCACGTTCGTAGAGGAGGGAGGGCGAGGGACATCAACGAAGGAGGAGTTGGCGATAAATGCCTCGAGCTCCTTGATGATGGCGGCAAGCCAGAGCGGGGCGTCGGGGCAAGCCATGGCCTCCTCGTACGTGGTTGGGACGAAGATGGAGGGAGCAGAGGAAAAGGCGAAGACTGGTGTTCCAGACAGGTCAAAGGTGATGGGGAGGAGGGAGGGGTCGGAAAGGTGGAGGTCAAGGAACTCCTCATGGGAGTCCTCAGAGAGGGAGGTGTGGAAGGCGCGGATAACCGCTGGGGCCGCTGCTCGTGCCGCTGCTGGTGCCGCTGCTGGTGCCGCTGCTGGTGCCGCTGCTGGTGCTGCTGTGGAGGCCGCTGCTGCCGCTGCACTTGCCGCTGCTGGTGCCGCTGCTGCTGCTGCACCTGCCGCTGCTGGTGCCGCTGCAATGGCTGCTGCTGGAGGTGCTGCTACCGAGGATGGGGAGGTGGTCGAGGAGGCTGGTGCAGGAGAGGCGTGGTGTAAGACAGCCTGGAAGAAGTGGTGAAGGAGGGGAGAAAGAGGGGGAAGGGAAGAGGTAGAGAGGGTAACAGGGGGCGGTGCACCAAGGATACTGTCACATGACCTGGTGTGAGGATACCGGGTGAGTATGGTGTGGGGAGTGGGGGAGGGAGGTGGTTGGGAGGGAGGGGGAGGGGCACCGGGGGAGGAGTGGGCGGGGGAGACAGGGGAAGATAGAGGGTCCGGGTCAAAGATGTCACCAGACGAGGGAGGGGCACCGTGGGACTGGGAGGGCGGAGGGGGAGGGGGTGGGAGGATGGGGGGAGGAGGGAGGAGAGGGGGAGGGGTGGTGTCAGACCAGACAAGGGGACGGGTCAGAGGTGGGAGTGGGTCAGTGGACGGGGGAGAGGAATAGTACGGGGTGGACTCGTCAAAGACGACTTCTCTGCTGCGAATTAGTCGACCGGAAGGGGGGTGGAGGAAAAGGTAGTCGGGGGAGGAGGGGTTATGACCAAGGAAGACGCAAGGAAGGGTACGAGGGGCAAGCTTTCCAAGGGAGCGGGATCGGTCAGACGGGTGAATGAGGACATAGGCCTTTGAGCCCCAGACTCGAAGAGGGGAGACATCGGGTTTGTCCTTTGTCCATAGCTCAGTGGGGGTGGTGGAGGGGAGGAGGGGGTGAGGGTAGAGGTTAGTAAGGAGGGCGGCATGAAGGAGGGCGTAGCCCCACAGAGAAGGGGGGCATGAGGCGTGGACAAGAAGACACCGAGCCGTTTTGGTGATCTCCCGAACACGGCTCTCAGCGACACCGTTCTGCTGTGGGGAGTGAGGGAGGGTGTGAGTCTGGAGAATGCCGCGGGACTGGCAGTAGGAGGAAATTTGGGTATTAAGGAACTCACCACCACCATCAGAGTGGAGGCGACGAACAGGGCGGCCAAAGTGGGTGTTGGCTTGCTCGAGCCAAGCAATGATCGCGGTCGGGGCATCCGCCTTCGTCCGAAGGAGAGAGACGGACGAGTACCGACTGTGGTCATCGACGAGCACGAGGAGGTAGCGATGGCCTTGGCGAGTGGGGGAAGGGTTAGGGCCCCAGAGGTCCATGTGAACAAGATCAAGTGGCTGAGCAGCAGCGGAGGGGGAGCTCCGGTGCGGCTGCTGCTTGAGCTTGCTCTGAACACAGACGACGCAAGGGGGGGCAGGGGACTTTGGGAGGGGAGGGAGGGAAGAGGGGAGACCGTGGAGGAGACCGGAGGATACAGAGGAGCGCAGAGTGGCGAAGTTGGGGTGACCTAGCCTGTGATGGAGGAGGATGGCAGGGTGGGAGAGGGAGCGACATGAGCAGTCAGAGTCAGGGGGGGCGGGGGGGGGACGGGTGGGTTAGTGGAGGGGAGGGGGGGGGGGGGGGAAGAGGGGGGGGGAGGCAACTTGGAAGGTGAGGGGGCGAGGAACTCGAAGGGTGTATAGACGGGTGCGGGGACAGTAAGGAATACGGGCGAGGAAACGACCTGTGGAGGTGTGGTAGAGATCACAATGGTTAGCACCACCTGGGATGAGAGTGGTGATCATGGATTGTTGGAGGGACCTTTGGGAGAGGAGGTTGGTGCGAAGGGAGGGAATGTGAAGACCTGTGACAGTACCTGAGGGAAAGAGAGGACAGGGAAGGGTGGAGGTGTTGTGACAGGGGATGGAAAAGCTGCTATCAGCGCCAAGGAGGGACGTGGATGTGGGAAGAGGATTGAGTTTGCCGGCATCTCGAAAGACATTATCAGTGGCTCCACTGTCCAAGACGAACTCAAGGGTGGAGGAGGGTGAGGCGGAATACTGAATTGAGGTTTCATTAATAGCAGGGGCATACATAGGAGATGCAACAGAAGGAGGCTGACTAAGGAGACCAACAAAGCCAGAGGAGGGAAAGGGGGTCACACTGCCACCTGTGGACGGCGCAGGGGATGGACCGGAGAGGTGGGCCGCAGAGGCGGCATTTCCGGCGGTCCAGCTGGGAAACGGCTGCTGCTGGGGGACAGGAGGAGGAGGGAGGAGAGGAAGTTGGGGCTGGAGGTCGAGCTGCTGCTGGAGCTGCTGAAGCTGCTGCTGGAGCTGCTGGAGCTGCTGCCCATACTGCTGCGGTCCCTGCTGCTGGACACTGCTGCTGCTGCTGCTGCTGCTGCTGCTGCTGCTGCTGCTGCTGCTGCTGAGAGGGGAGAGCAAAGGCCTGGTGGGCCTGGGAGGAGGAGGAGGGGGCGTAGAGGGGAGAGGTGCGAACATCGAGGGGAGTGGGGCGGGGATTAAGGGCGGACCAGCGAGGAGGGGTGCCAGAGTTCCCACGAGCGAACCACTCATCGCTGAGTGCCTTGAAGCACGTGTCAGTTGCATGAGTGGTTTGGTTGCAGCGTTGGCCTCGGGTGGGGCCATAGAGGGGAAGATACTGACAGGGTGGGAAGGCCGCTGCTGCCCCACGACCCGCACCACCACGACCGCCAGAGCCGCCTCGACCACCACCACGCCCACCTCCACGCCCTCCCCCACGTCCGCCCTTGCCGCTGCGCTGCTGTGCTACCGCGGCAGTGGAGGAGGAGTGGCGAAGGATTTCAGCCTCAGTGGTGATAATCCACTGGGCAACTTGAGCGGGAGTGTCATGCTTGGAGAGGAGTTGCATGTATGCGAGCTTGTGGGCATCGAAGGCGGGAGTGAGGCCTTCGAGGAGGTGGCAGCAGATGACAGTGTCAGGGTAGGTAACGCCAAGTGCTGCGAGGCGGCGAGCAAGGTCAAGGACGCGGCGAGTAAAGGCGGCTGCGCCGGCAGTGGAATCCATGGTGATGGATCCAAATTCCTTGATGAGGGCATAGAGGGTGGCGATGTCCTGCCGGTCAAAGAGGTCGACAAGCAGTTGCCACAGGTGGGAGGAGGAGGTAGGTGAAAGCTCTCGTTTGAGGGAGGAGGGGATAGTGGCGAGGAGGATGGCGAGAGCTCGACGGTCAGCAATGCGCCACGCAGCGATGTCGGTGGTGTAGCTGGCGAGACGTGTAGTGTACGTGGCGAGTCGAGCTTGGTAATCGCGGTGGCGGGCAGCAGCCTCGTCGTAGGCGCGCTTGTCGTCCTCATAGCGCAGTTGACGGCGAAGGTGGTCGTTGAGTGCGGTGCGGTAGGTACGGATGGCAGTTTCCATGCTCTGAGGATTGTTGACATCCGGCGCGAAGGTGGGAGGATCACCAGGAGGCTCGGGCTCAGGTCCGGGCTCGTCAGGAGGAGGTCCGGTGGGGGCGGAAGGGGCGATGGGCTGGAGTCCGCCTTCCTCCTGGAACACGACGGAACGGAGAATATATCCGCTGACGACAACCGAGGAGAGCAACACCTCGACGGAGTGGGCATAAGAGTGCCAGTTGGCGGCCGAGTTGTCGCCCAACAACTCGAGAGAGTCAATGGTCGCCAGGTCGACCGATGAGTCTGCGGACGCCATGATGGCGAAGTCGGGGAGGTGCTGCTGCTAGTGCTGTTGAAGGTGCCGCTGCTGGTGCCGTTGAAGGTGCCGCTGCTGGTGCCGTTGAAGGTGCCGCTGCTGGTGCCGTTGACAGGGTGGCGCTGCTGGTTTAGGGTTAAAGGTCGCTGCTAGGTGTTGTTGCTGGTGCGATTAAGGGTGAAGTGGGGGGGGGAGGAGGTAGGGGAGAGGGAGGATGGCGCGGAAGTGTGGGGCAGGGCGCGGATGAAAGGGGGGAGGTTGCGCAGGTCAGTCGCGGCGGCGCGTCGGCCGCCCGTGAGAGCGCGAGGGTCGGCCGCGGCTCTGCGTCGGCCGTCCGCGTCAGCGCGAGGGTCGGCCGCGGCTCTGCGTCGGCCGTCCGCGTCAGCGCGAGGGTCGGCCGCGGCTCCGCGTCGGTCGTCCGCGTCGGCGCGGAGGTCGTCGGCGATCGCGCGGCGGCCGTTCGGGATGGCGCACAGGTCGGCCGCGACTCCGCGCTGGCCGTCCGCGTCGACGCGCGGGGTGCTCGTGGCCGCGGGCTGGCCGTCCGCGACGGTTGGCTGGCCGTCCGCGACGGCTTGCGGGCTGTCTGCGACGGCTTGCTGGCCGTCCGCGACGGCTTTCTGGCCGTCCGCGACGGAAGGCGTGAGGGAGGGGTGGCGGCGGGAGGGAGGATTGAGGCCGCGGGAGAGCGGTCGGAGGCCGCGAGAGGGAGGATTAAGGCCGCGGGAGGGAGGATTGTGGCCGCGGGAGGGAGGATTGAGACCGCGGAGGAGTAGATCTGAGCCGCGGAAAGCTAGATCTGAGGTACGGGAGGGAGGATTGAGGCCGCGGAGGAGTAGATCTGAGCCGCGGAAAGCTAGATCTGAGGTACGGGAGGGAGGATTGAGGCCGCGGGAGGCTAGATCTAAGACGCGGAGAGGAAATTACGGCCTAAGGATCGAGGGAGGTGGCGTGAGCCATTTGGCTCTGAATACCATGATAGAATTCAAGAATGGTTGAGTAATGAGCCAAGGAGGCTCTATAGTACAAGCATGCAAGGAAGAGAGGTTGGAAGAAGGTGCAACCCTATTGGCCACTAAGTTGGCCAATGGGTGAGTTGCCTTGTGGAGTAGGGAACCCCACAATGTTGCTAGCTTGTGATTGGTTGGCCTTAGGACCAAATGTTGGCAAGTGCCAACCAAGGACCAAGACCAAACCAAATCTTGACCCAACCACAAAGTGTGGTTGGAGTGTACACCCAACCCCCCAATAGCTTAAAGAGCTACACCTATTCTAGCCTATGTATGTTGTATATATAAGATACATTTACAACACCCTTCTCTCCTCCTGCCCTCCCTCACATCCATCCACTCCCCCCTCCATTCAGATTCCTCAACGCAGCAGCACTGGAGATGGTACGGGACCTACACGGCTTCCCGCGTTTCTCCGCCTTCCTGCGCTGGGCCGCCTTCCTCTTCACCAAATCATCCTCCGAACTGCACCCCACGCTCGTCCTCCCACCACAACCCCCCCCCGCGCCCGCACTCCCCACGTCTATGTCAATAGCGGGGGACGAGGTGGGGGGGGAGGTGGAGCTGCCAGCCATAGTGGCCCGCCGGGACCCCAAGTCTCTGCTCTTTGAGGGATCTGTGCTCGCCACGCCCTCCCGCGCTGCCTCCTCCCCTCACACCGCCGCCGCTGCTGCCGCCGCTGCCGCTGCTGCTGCCGCCGCCGCCGCTGCTGCTGCACGCCCCTCCCTCACCGTGCCTGCGAGTTTGAAGAGCGGTGGGAAGAGTGGTGGCACAGGCGGGGGTGGGGGCGGAGCAGGGGCGGCAGGGGGGGGGGAGAGGTCGTGGGCGCGGGAGAAGCTGCTGGCGAGCAGCACGTTCAGGCGCGTGACAGCGGAGCGCAACAGCACGGACGAGGCGCTCATGGCGTGGAACCCCCATGCTGCCGTCGCCTGCACCGTGCTCTGCCGCTTCCTTGCTGATGCCGTGCCCGCCGCTGCCCTGCGCAGGGGGCATGGGCATGGTCACGGGCATGGGCATGGGCACGGGCACGGGCATGGGCACGGGCACGGGGGAGGGTACGGGCAGGACATGGGGTGGGACGCGGATCCGGAGGAGTATCGCGAGCAGGCGGCGCAGTGTGTGGCGGGGGCGCTGCTGGGCGTGTTTCAGCAGCAGGTGGGCGACTGGTACGACGCAGCAGCAGCACGCATGTTCCGGTCCCTCTCCCCCGCCCTGCAGCTCTTCACAGTGCATCAGCTGCGTCGCATCCTCGGGTCCCTCATTGCTGGGGCAGAACACTTCCGCTCTGCGCGCCTGTGGAACGCGCTCTTCTCGCCCATCTTCTTCTTCTTCGGCGCTCAGACCAGGCCGCGCCACCCGCTGCTCTCGCCACGCCTGCTGGGGCCCAAGGCAGCTGCGCTTGCTGCTGCGCCACCCACAGCCGGTGCTGCTGCAGGCGCGGCGAGGGGAAGTGCAGGGGGAGCGGTCGGAGAGGGCCAGCAGTGGCAGTCGTTTGCGCGGACGAGCTCGGCCGGGGAGGCAACAGCAGCAGTGGGGGCGGACAGCAGAGCAGGAGCAGCGGAAGGAGGGTTAGCCAGTGGTGGCAGTGGGGGCAGCAGCAGCAGGCACGGCGAGGCGTTGGTGGTCTTGCTAGACCCAGCTCTAGAGTATGTCAACCTGCCGTCTTCCCCCGACGCGGAGAGGCTACGGGGGGACATAGTGGCACTGGTGGAGCTGGCAGTATCAGTGGACATGGGCGATGGCAGCGCCACCGAGTGCGCGCTGCTGCTCGCTGCTCTCGAGGCCTGCTGCACGCAGCCCAGTGCTGCTGCTCTGCTGGCCCACGCGCTGCAGCGCCTGCTGCATGCCAGGGACACGGACGCTGTCAGGGAGCTGTCGGCCGTGCCCCGCCTCGCTGCCATCATCGACCGCCAGCACGCCGCCGCCGCTGCTGCTGCTCTCCCCTCCGCCACGCCTCCCCTCACCCCGTCGCAGCTCCTCCCCCCGCGCTCCGTCTCCCTCCCTGTGTCCGCACTCCGCCCCGTGCCGTCCGCTTACAGCGAGGAGGGCGAGGGAGCGGCAGCCGAGTGGCAGGGCGTCCGGGGGGCGGTATTCGCGCTCTTAGAGGGCGCGCTGGGGGAATCTGATGCTGCACTGGTGGACGCTGCATGCGACCCCTCTGTGTTTGTGCCGCTGCTGCGCCTGCTGTGGGACTCGCCCAACAGGGAGTTCGCCCTGCGAGTGCTCATCCTGCTCATGCACGCGCCCCTGCTCGACCCCTCCGCGGGACAGCCCCTGCTGGAGTGCTTCTTCGACCTCGTCTCCCATGCCGCCTCCTTCACTGGCGGAAGCAGTGCAGTGGCGGTGACGGGCGAGGGTGGGGAGGAAGGGGGGAGTAGAGACGCGGTTGGGGTGAGGCAGCAAGGTGCGGCTGGAGGGGAGGAGGGGGAGGAGGAGGAGGGGAAGGGGAAGAGTGGTGGGGATGTCGAAGAAGTGGATATGGAAGGAGAAGGTGTGGATGGGCAGGGGGAGGGGGGAGAGCAAGGGGAGGAGACGGGGGGGCGAGGAGGGGCTGAGGGGGGAGCAGGGAAGGGGCGGGGGGGGAGGGTGAGCGAGCGGGCAGTGATGCTGGTGGACGACCTGCTCTCCTGCTCCACCTACATCGTCTCCGACCCCCCCAACGCTGTCAGTCTGCCATGCGCCTTCAGCCCTGCATGCGTCTATTTGTGCTAGAGTGTCAACTATCCCCTCTCATTCTCCTCTATTCCCCCTCCCTCCACTACCCGCCCTACACTGCCCACCTTGCCAGGCATTGCAGCAGCGGTGTGTGGAGGCGGGGGCGCTACAGCACGTGCTGGCGGTGCTGGATGCGCGCTACAGCCCCGCGCACGGGCTCGCCATCACGCTCGCTGCCCTGCGCTGCCTCACCTGCCTGCTCGCCGCCAACCAGGCCGCCAAGGTCTGCCTCGCCTGGGCCCCCCTCTCGTTATTATCACAGTACCCGCTGTGTGCTCACTGTTCTCTCATTGGCAGCGCCTGCTGACGACTGCATGCATGGTGCCCAATAGCAAATCGTCTCTCCCATGTGCATGTGTGCATGTGTCCGTCCATGTGTGTGTCCATGTATGTGTGTCTGTCTCCATGTGTGTGTGCCACGGTTTGTGAGGGTGGCAGGCAGCCATGGTGCGAGTGGCAGGGGCGGGGTACACGGGGTTGCAGAGGAGGATAGAGGCGCTCACAGGGGGCAGGGCGGGGCAGGAGGTGCTGGATGCCGTGCTCTGCCTCGCCACTGACGGTGCCTACACTGCATCCTCCCACAGCACACGAGCCACCATCCAGGTGCCCTCATGCTGCTCGTGCCGCCCTTCGTTCTCCACCTTGCAATTCACCCCCCTTGAGCTTCTCCCTTCCCTCTTGCACCTGTCTCCACTTGTCGTTCTGCATCCCCTCTCCTCTCTTCCAGCATCTTCCTTGTCCTCCCATGCTCACCACCCCCTGTGCCCCCATGTGTGTGCAGAACGGAGATGCACTCATCCTCTGGCTCTCACTGCTGCGCACGGTATGCCCCCCTCATTTCAAATGCTTGTGTCTCTTTGCTCTCGTGCTCGCAACACCCTGCCCGTGTCTCACCTGCACACACGCTCTCTATTCTCCCTCTGCACTCCCACTTACCTTTTGACACGTTTCAGTAAAACAACTGTGCTCCTTTGCTCTGCATTCACACCCTTCCCAACTTCCCCCCAACTCTGTGCATGCAGGCACCAGAGAGGCAGGCGGTGGCAGGGTTGCAGCAGCTGCAGGCGATGCTAGCGGACTCCACAGCGTCATGTGCGGAGTGCACGCGCGCGTCGCTCATGTGGCACCTGCTGCACTGGCTCTCCACCCTCGACTCCCTCCCCCTCGCCCCACCCCCATCCACCGCCGCCGCTGGCCCTGCCACTGCCATTGGCGCATGGGGGGACGGCGGGGAGCAGCAGGAGGCGGGGGGGGCGGGGGCGGGGGAGGGCGGGGGCAGGGAGGGGGTGGTGGCGGCGGTGGCGCTGCTGGTGGAGACGATGGGGCGGCACAGCATGAGTGGCAAGGAGATCACGGCCGTGTTCCACCTGCTGCGCCAGGCGGGGGCGGGCAGCCGAGCGCGCCATGCGTCACTGCTGCTGCGCACGCTGCTGGGAGCCATCAAGGACGAGGGGCCCTCTGGCTTCTTTGAACTCAACGGCGTTGACTCCGTGAGTCCTTTCTGTCACTCGCGTTCCTGCTGCTCTCCCGTGCCCTCCACTGTGCCGGGTGCGTGGCTATGGTAGCACCTCCATGCCTCTTCACACACTCGCCGCCCATTGTCATGTCAAAACCTTTCCCCATCCCCCCCTCCCCTTTCCCTTCCTCCCCTTGCTTCTCTCGCGCCAGGGATTCAAGCTGCCCTCAGACCTGCGGTTCCCCGGGCCACGGGGCTACACGGTGGTGTGCTGGCTGCGCATAGAGGCCTTCCCCACACCGCCCGCCTCCGCCTTCCCCGGCTCGCCCCCTCTCAACCCCTGGGCCTTCGACGCGGAGGGGCGCCTGGAGGACACGGAGGGGGGCGCGCGGGGGGGAGCGGAGGCGAGCAGGGAGGGCGCGATGGCGCTCTTCAGCTTCCTCACGGACCTGGGCGTGGGGTGCAGCGCCTTCCTCACCCCTGATGACGTCCTGCTGCATGTATGCGCCCACTGTCACGCCACATGTCATTGCCTGCTCTGTGGATTCCTTTTTCTCCATCCCCTCGCGCATGGTGACGCCGTTCTCCCCAATCAAACTTATGCCTTCCGTTGCACTGCCTCCACTGCTAATCCCCACCACCCCACCGCTCCCCGTTACTTCCCTGTGCACCACTTGTGGCACATGACACCAGGTGGGCGGGGCAGCAGCTCGGGAGGCGGTGGTGGGGTTACCACACGAGCTGCGCCTCAAGTGCTGGCACCACGTGGCCATCACCCACGCCGCGCCCACCTTCGCTGCCCCCAGCACCGTGCGCCTCTTCGTTGACGGCCGCCTCGTCGCCTCCTCGCGCGCCAGGTGCGTGTGCACACAGGCACAGAGAGTTTGGCCAAGCTGATTGGTATAGGTATAGCGGTGCATGCAGGGGAGCAGAGTCATTCACTGCATTTGGTCCAAGTTTCATTCGCCGTGCCCCCTGTGACTTCGGCCACTGTCACAGTGCCACAACTTCATGCGCTCACTACCCTCACATCCGCCCCGTTTCTTCCCCCTTCCCCTTCCCCCCCCACCCGCCCTGCCCTTCCCTCGCAGCTTCCCTCGCATCTACGACCCGCTAACGCGCTGCACCATAGCATCATGGGCGCCACTGCCCCAGGCAGCCCCCCACGCGCGCACGCCCCTAGACGACGACGACGACCCAGCCTCCCTCTCCATGGCGCCCCCCCTCTGCGGCCAGCTGGGCGCCCTACACGTGCTCGACGACCCGCTCTCCCCCGACCAGGTCGCCGCTCTGCACCGCTTGGGACCGCGCCACGCGCACTCCTTCCTCCCCTGCGAGCTCTCCCTCCTGCCCGGGTCCGCCGACCCCCCTGTGCGCGCACTCTTTGACGGCAAGGACTGCCTCGCTCCGCACCTCACCGTCAGCCTCACCGCTCACGCCACGGCGGGCGGGGTCGTGCTGGACGCGACTCCCTTCTGGGAGCAGCAGGGAGGGGGTGGTGCGCGGCGTGTGTGCGACGCGGTGATGCTGCCCGGCGTGCAGGTGTGCCAGCGGCACCGCCTGCAGGACGTGCTGTCGTGCGTGGGGGGTGTGGCGGTGCTCTTCCCCCTGCTCATGCAACTCGACAGTGACGATGACACCGGTGCTGGGTCAGAGGGCGAGGGGGAGGAGGAGGGGCGGTGGGAGGCGGGGGGCACGCACGTGGCGGTGGATGTGGTGTGCCTGCTGACGGAAGTGCTGGCAGGCAGTGCGGCGGCTCAGCAGTTCATGGTGGGCGTGGGGGGCTTCTCCGTGCTCAGCTTCCTGCTGCAACACGTGCACCCCCGCCACCTCACCGTCAGCCTCGTCCTCTCCATTGAAAGCCTCACTAACAGCATTGCTGCTGAGCAGGGTAAGAGAAGGGCAGGTCAGTCAGGTATCCTGCGCGTAAGAAATTGGTCAAGGAAACTCCCTGGGTGTTTCAGGCTGGTCAAAGAGCACTCGTATCCAATCGTACGCATGGCAGCATATGCTCACCCTTCGCCATTCAGTCACTCCCACGCCCTGCCACTCCTCTCTACCACTTCCCCCCTTGCAATCCCTTGCCATCTCCTCTCCTTCCCCCTCCCAGACTCAGCGATGGCGGAGCAGCTAACGCGGTCAGCATGGAGTGAGCTGTACCTGCAGCTGTCCCTCTGGATCTACGCGCCCTACGCCGTGCAGCGCGAGCTGCTCGAGTCCCTGCTGCGCCAGGTGGAGCGCAGCCCTGCACTGCTGCCCGCCGTGTGCCCGCTGCCGCGCCTGCTCGACCTGCTGCGCCGCTTCTACTGGCACGTGCCGCACGGCCGCTCCGTCGCCGGCCTCAAACCCCTCGTGCATGCCTCCTCGCGTGTTGTGATTGGCCGGCGCCCTGACAATGCTGACGTGGCGAAGCTGAGGCTGCTGCTGCTGAGGCTGGCTGAGTACAGCGTGAGGTGAGGCGGCCGTGCAGGGTGGGTGGGCTAGAGAGGGTCGGTGAAAGGGTGGGAGCCCAGCGCTGCCTGTTTGCTCTTCGCGCTAATCAGTCCTGAGCGCTTTAGTCTCCATATTGCTCCATATGCTATGCCATCAATGCATGCATCTCTTGTGTGGGCTGCTCTGTCCTGCCTGCCGACCACCAGGGACGGCTTCTCACTGGCTGATGTGAGGGCGCTAGCAGCGTTGGTGGAGGGCAGCAAGGACGCCCCCAGTGTGCGAGACGTGCTGCTGGCGCTGCTCTCACTGCTCTCCCGCCCGCCACTGCTCGCCTCCTTCACCTCGCACGTCTACTCCCTCACCGGCTGCCACCTCTTCCTCAACCTCCTCGCTAGGTCTGTTCCCCCAAATGTTAGTACCTCTTAGCTAGGTCCGTACCTGAGGGTAGCATTAGTGGTGCTTGCTGCAACACTGCGAGACAAGCTGCATCGCTGCCTTGCTCTCACCTCCCTCTCCGCAATTGCTCCCTTTCCTTTCCTCTCCCACCCCCACACGGCCTCACTCCACCCCCCCCCCACAGGCCAGAGGAGGATCTGCAGTCGTTGGGCCTGCGTCTCATCACAGCACTGCAGGCGGAGCGCCGTCTGCGCCTCATCCGCGCCTTCTCCTCCTCCCCCGCGCCCTCCCCCGCGCCCTCCGCCACCCCCGCGCCCATCCCCGACGACCTAGTAGCTGCTGCGCTGCTGCACGCGCCCTCACCCTCACCCTCCGCGTCTGCTCTCTCAGGCGGTGCGCTGCCATCCCCCGGGCCTGGGGGGGGCGGGGAGCGCGTGAGGGAGGACGTGGAGCAGGCGGAGGCGATGGTGGGCGTGGCTCTGCAGCTCATGGTGCAACGCGCGTGCCGTGTCACGCCCCTCGTGCACTCCATCCTCTTCGACCTCCTCCTCGCCCGCCCCCTCCCCAAACCTGTAAGAGTCACTATCACGACCATGCCTGTGAGCCCCAAGCCTGTGAGTCCACCCCAAGCCTGTGAGTCCACCCCAAGCCTGTGAGTCCACCCCAAGCCTGTGAGTCCACCCCAAGCCTGCGAGTCCACCCCAAGCCTGTGAGTCCACCCCCCAAGCCTGTGAGTCCACCCCAAGCCTGTGAGTCCACCCCCCAAGCCTGTGAGTCCACCCCAAGCCTGTGAGTCCACCCCAAGCCTGTGAGTCCACCCCAAGCCTGTGAGTCCACCCCAAGCCTGTGAGTCCACCCCAAGCCTGTGAGTCCACCCCAAGCCTGTGAGTCCACCCCAAGCCTGTGAGTCCACCTCAAGCCTGCGAGTCCACCCCAAGCCTGTGAGTCCACCCCCCAAGCCTGTGAGTCCACCCCAAGCCTGTGAGTCCACCCCAAGCCTGTGAGTCCACCCCAAGCCTGTGAGTCCACCCCAAGCCTGTGAGTCCACCCCAAGCCTGTGAGTCCACCCCAAGCCTGTGAGTCCACCTCAAGCCTGTGAGTCCACCCCAAGCCTGTGAGTCCACCCCAAGCCTGTGAGTCCACCCCAAGCCTGTGAGTCCACCCCAGGCCTGTGAATCAAAGGACAGCTCTGTGCAGTCACTGAGCGACTGAAGTGTATTGCTCATGTGCCTAGTATTTGTCTTTTCTTTCCTACCCCTTTGCACCCACCTTCCCGTCTCTCAAGCATTACATGCCTCTGCAACCCCCTCCCCTGTCCCCTCCCCCAGATGCCTCACCGCACGAGCACAGTGTTCGCCCACCACGCCCCCCTGAGCCCCCTCCAAGCCTCCCCCTCCATGCGCCTGCACTCCCCCGCTGCCTCGCTCTCCTCCTCCTCCTCCTCCCTCGCGTACCCCTCCGACCTCTCCTCCTCGCACTCCATGCTTCCTCCCCTCTCCACGGACCGCCCACGAGTGTTCATAGTGCCCGAGGCCGTGGGGCTGCTGCTGCCGCTGCTGGCGGGGGGCAGGGCGGAGGGGGGCGTGGCGGGGGCGGCAATGAAGGAGCTGGCGGACCTCGTCGTGGGCAACGCTGTCAACCCACGGCTTCTGCTGCAGGTGCGTGCAATGGGGCTTAACCAAGGGGTGGGGGGAGGGCGGATGGGGGGCAATGAAGGAGCTTGGAGGGGGGCGTGGCGGGGGCGGCTATGAAGGAGCTGGCGGACCTTGTTGTGGGCAACGCTGTCAACCCACGGCTGCTGCTGCAGGTGCGTATGGGGCGGGGCTTATGCAGGGGATCGGGGAACAGACGTGTGCATGTTCATTCCCGGCTCATATTGTTCTAACGCTGCTGTTGCAACCAGCGCTGCTCGCACCAGCTGCTCGTCAAGCTGCCTAACTTGCTTCCCCCTGCCCTTCTCCTGTTCCTCCCAACAGCAAAAGGGGTGGCAGGTGGATCTGATGGCGCTGCTGGCGCTCATGCGCTCTCGCCTCTCCCCGCCCTCGCCCCCAACTGCCATCACCACCGCCGCCCCCACCCCCACCGCCACCACTACCACTCCCACTGGCACGAGCAAGGGGTCGCAGGCAGCAAACGGGTGGAGTGGGGCGAGGAAGGGGGGACGGGGGAGCGAGGGGGAGGTGGGGGAGGAGGAGTTGGAGGAGGCGGAGGTGGTGTGGGAGCAGGTGCGGCGGCTGCTACTGGCGACACACGCACACGCACTGCAGCACAGCAGCACCGGCTGGCAGCACGTGGCCGACACTGTTGGTGCCCTCCGCATGTTCGCCCAGCAGGTGAGCATGTTCGCCCAGCAGGTGAGCATGTTCGCCCAGCAGGTGAGCATGTTCGCCCAGCAGGTGAGCATGTTCGCCCAGCAGGTGAGCGTGTTCGCCCAGCAGGTGAGCATGTTCGCCCAGCAGGTGAGCGTGTTCGCCCAGCAGGTGAGCGTGTTCGCCCAGCAGGTGAGCGTGTTCGCCCAGCAGGTGAGCGTGTTCGCCCAGCAGGTGAGCATGTTCGCCCAGCAGGTGAGCATGTTCGCCCAGCAGGTGAGCATGTTCGCCCAGCAGGTGAGCGTGTTCGCCCAGCAGGTGAGCGTGTTCGCCCAGCAGGTGAGCGTGTTCGCCCAGCAGGTGAGCATGTTCGCCCAGCAGGTGAGCATGTTCGCCCAGCAGGTGAGCATGTTCGCCCAGCAGGTGAGCATGTTCGCCCAGCAGGTGAGCATGTTCGCCCAGCAGGTGAGCATGTTCGCCCAGCAGGTGAGCATGTTCGCCCAGCAGGTGAGAATGTTCGCCCAGCAGGTGAGCATGTTCGCCCAGCAGGTGAGCGTGTTCGCCCAGCAGGTGAGCGTGTTCGCCCAGGCGTGTTCGCCCAGCAGGTGAGCGTGTTCGCCCAGCAGGTGAGCGTGTTCGCCCAGCAGGTGAGCGTGTTCGCCCAGCAGGTGAGCATGTTCGCCCAGCAGGTGAGCATGTTCGCCCAGCAGGTGAGCATGTTCGCCCAGCAGGTGAGCATGTTCGCCCAGCAGGTGAGCATGTTCGCCCAGCAGGTGAGCATGTTCGCCCAGCAGGTGAGCATGTTCGCCCAGCAGGTGAGCATGTTCGCCCAGCAGGTGAGCATGTTCGCCCAGCAGGTGAGCATGTTCGCCCAGCAGGTGAGCATGTTCGCCCAGCAGGTGAGCATGTTCGCCCAGCAGGTGAGCATGTTCGCCCAGCAGGTGAGCATGTTCGCCCAGCAGGTGAGCATGTTCGCCCAGCAGGTGAGCATGTTCGCCCAGCAGGTGAGCATGTTCGCCCAGCAGGTGAGCATGTTCGCCCAGCAGGTGAGCATGTTCGCCCAGCAGGTGAGCATGTTCGCCCAGCAGGTGAGCATGTTCGCCCAGCAGGTGAGCATGTTCGCCCAGCAGGTGAGCATGTTCGCCCAGCAGGTGAGCATGTTCGCCCAGCAGGTGAGCATGTTCGCCCAGCAGGTGAGCATGTTCGCCCAGCAGGTGAGCATGTTCGCCCAGCAGGTGAGCATGTTCGCCCAGCAGGTGAGCATGTTCGCCCAGCAGGTGAGCATGTTCGCCCAGCAGGTGAGCGTGTTCGCCCAGCAGGTGAGCGTGTTCGCCCAGCAGGTGAGCATGTTCGCCCAGCAGGTGAGCATGTTCGCCCAGCAGGTGAGCATGTTCGCCCAGCAGGTGAGCATGTTCGCCCAGCAGGTGAGCATGTTCGCCCAGCAGGTGAGCGTGTTCGCCCAGCAGGTGAGGAAAACGAGTAAAATGTTGGCCACCCTGCTCTCGTGCCCTTCCATGCACGCACTTATGCAGTCAGTCTCCGTCTTTCTCATCTCCACTCTCTCCCTCTTTCCCCCCTTCCTAACCCACCCTCCCCCAGGGCAAGCTGCCTTACCACCTGGTGTTGCGTCCGCTGTTAGCCGAGCTCATCACAGTGCAATCAGGGCTGTCCTCGCGATACGACGCGGCGCGCAACAACTGTCTCTTCATGTTTGCACTCATAGACGAATTCGCCCTGCATGACTCGCGCCACATCTTCCCTGTGAGCCCTGCATGACTCGCGCCACATCTTCCCTGTGAGCCCTGCATGACTCGCGCCACATCTTCCCTGTGAGCCCTGCATGACTCGCGCCACATCTTCCCTGTGAGCCCTGCATGACTCGCACCACATCTTCCCTGTGAGCCACCCTGCCTGTCTGCGCACTCCCATTCACCCCTCCTCGCACCAGTCCTCACCCTCCCGCTTGCACATCTCCCTCTCCCCCTCCAACTGTTCCTCCTTTGCCATACCCATCCGATTTACCCTTCTCCATCGTTTCTTCCCCTCCTCCTCCCCCCACCCCCACCAGGCGAAGGAGCTGATGACGGCGGGCGTGGGGGAGGCAGTGGACGGGCTGGCCGGCATCACCACACCGCGCTCCCACGCCCCCCACGCCGCCCACGCGCCCTCCACGCCCCTCTCCCCGCCCCACTCCTCCTCACCCCCCCTCTGGCACACCAGTGGGCGGCCACTCTGGGGGGAGGGGCGGGCGAGCAGGGGGCGCGGGGGGATGGGGGAGGGGAGGGGGAACGGGGAGATGGAGGGGGGCTGGCGCAATGGGGGGGGTGGGGGGAGGGCGGGGCTGGGGAGGCTGACATGGGCGCATGCCCCCATGGGGTCTACACGGTGGGGGGCGCACAGGGCCATGGTGGGAGCGTGGGATGAGGGGGATGAGGGGGATGAGGGGGAGGAGGAGGGTGTGGGGGGCCGAGCAGGGCAGGGCGGGCAGGGAGGCAGTGGGGGCCTGTATGGGGATGATGGTGCTATCCGCCCGCTCACTCCGCCAGGCCTAGCAGTGCCCTTAACCCCGCCTGGCATGAGTCCTTTGGGAGGTGCTGGAGGGGGATTTCTCACCCCCGCCGCTGCTGAGGAGGGAAGCGGTGCAGAGCGGTTCAGCACGATGAGCCTGGACGTGCAGAGTGCGCACAGCCCTGGGGAGGTTGACGTGCTGACGACCAGCATTGACCTGGTTGACTGCAGCGTTGACCTGGGGGACTCCAGTGGAGCGGCGGAAGGAGGGGCTTCTCTGGAGGGTGGTGCGGGGATGGGAGGGGTGGGGGGACAGCTGGCAACGGTGGGGGAGGAAGGGGAGGGGAGGGTGAGGGAAGGGGATGGCAGAGCGGAGGAGGATAGGAGCTCACACCTTTGGGATCAGTGAGTCGCTGCTTTGTGTGGGGAGGTGTGCAGGGCGTTGCGTTGCGTATACATGCATGCGTAGAGGCAGAGGGGTAGGTGGCCATGGAAATGGATGGACGTGGGTGAATATGTGCTGCATTCGGCTTGCTGCACCGCTCCTCCTGCCCTCCCAGCACTCTCGCTCCCATTTTCCCCCTCACAAAGTGTCCACTCCCCTTCCCCTCCTGCTTTCTCTGCCCTGCCCCCCTGACTACTGCAGGCGGATGACAGCGAGCTTAAATGGAAGG